GATATCTGGGAAGATCAATGCTATGAGGTTTCCCCAAGGACCAGCTAGTAAAAAGGATCCTTAACCATGAAATTCAGTTGTTGTTATCCTTGTAAAATATAGTTGTTTCTTTCTATGATGTCACTATTGCAAATGACCATATGTGATGTAAGCAGATTTTGCAAAAGTGATGTCATCAAAGGCTTTGTTTGACTAACGATTTGAATGGTTCAACTCTTACTGTTAATTATCATAGACTTTAATTACCTCTGCTGGTTTATTGTGTGGTGTATAACTAAATGATGGACTTCGTAATCCATTGGGTCCATGTTTACTAACTGGAGCTGAAAAATAGATTTTTATAGATCATGTAAAATACCCCATAGCACAGACACAGAGACTAGGTTTTTGACAGATTGTATTATATAAAAGCTAAGTTCAGAGCATATTGAACAGGAAGGCTGGGAGGTGTGAGTCTATATAACTTACTCTTCTTTGATGAAATATGTGGATCATCTTCATCATCATCTGTAATGCTTAATCTCCTTTTCTTACTACCTTTGTTAGCCATTGATGGAAAGTTTACCTATATCTGAAAAGACAAACAATTCACTCTATGTCAAAAAATAAAAGGTCTCCAAGTACCATCTTATAATCTAAGATAGATTATGAATATCTTAAGTTGACTCATTACTAATACAATACAAATTTTTAATTTAACTTTACATAGGATGAGATTGATTCCATTAAAGGGCTTTCTAAATTTTTTGTGTATCAGGGACACTGATAACTTTAATTTGTACCATTCCAATATCTGACGTCTGTGGTTCCTCCAATTCTACTAGTGTTTGATGACTTCACTGATCGCAAAATATGCTTTATCAGACAAGGCCCCTTCCAATTAGTGATGTCATCAAACTATTTTTAGTGGAATTGCAGTGTCAGCAGAAGTCTGACTTGAAATTGGAATGATGCAAATGGATGCTATCAGTTTCCTGGATACACATACAACTTTGAGAAAAGACCTCTTTACAAACCCCTTAATTAAAATTCAGATCCGAATACTTTGTGCTATGTTTTCTTTGCAGGTTACAAGATTCTTCTTTAGTTCATGTTCTAGATGTTTATGATAGACTAAGATCATATGCAGTGGTTTTCCTGATGAACAAAAGTGGACTGAGTTGTCTCAAGTTGGTGAGACATGTCTTTTATGACAGTCCGAAATTTATCAGGTCATCTGAGATGTATTTCTCAGTTCTGAGATTATCAAGTCATTTGTCTGAGTTGTCTTTTGATTTATTAAGTCTTCTGAGTTTTTTTTTAGCATTCAGAGATTTATCATTGAGAGATTTATCAAGTCATCTGAGTTTTTTTTTAGCATTCAGAGATTTATCAAGTCATCTGAGTTGTCTTTTGAGTTAAAAGGAAGCTTGACTAGTTCACAGCTAAATATCCACTGTGAAAAAGAAAGTTATCAAATAATCTAGATGAAGGAGGGGTAGTCGATAATATTTGGTGTCAAGACAATAGCAGCCGAATATAGACATGCCATTATATATTTTTCCTCACAAAATAATTTCATCCAAGTCATTTTTGTGCCAATGTACCTGATGAATTTCAATGCATAGCATGGTTTACAAAATGTCAAAATAGTTTAGTCTATATATAGATTTATCGTGAGATACCGGTACTCCGATTGGTCAAATCAATAATAATATACAATTTGAACAGTTTACCCTTTATGTTTCGGCATCTAATTCAAAGTTTTGATTTCAACTGTTGGTCAAAATAAATATTAAAACCCAAAATTATCAAATGCTATCATCAGAGAAACAAATGTTAAATTTTGAAACTGTGGTAATTAGTATTAGTATAGCGCAATTCGTTCAACTTGACCTAACAAACTCAATAATAGGTCATCTTATTAGATATTCATGATCTCGTTAATAGGATTTCCCAGTAATTACGAACCTAGATTTCCAAATATTCTGATTCTAGACACATTTACGAATCTATAGCCACTAAATTCAACATAAAACACACGTCAGGAAGCCCAGTGTGTAAAATTCTTTTAGGGTACTCATTTGGCGCCATCTTGGCTAAATTTTTCACGTTATTGAAAATCACGTGAACGGAAGTTCACTAAATGATCTGCTTCATAGCCATAGTTTCGAATTTTTTTAAAATGCTTGTTGATATGAAATATTTATACAATAATTCAACAATAGTTGTTCATAATGTCTGAATGCTACTCGTTTCGCATGTGTTTGATGACTTGAAGAATGGTGATGAATCCACTGATCTACAGTGGATCTAATCATGATCAGATGGTCAAAGGGAAACAACAACACAAATTGCATGGTGCGCTGTCATACTAAGACCACAATCAATATATATTTTAATCCTTTACTTTAGAGCTGTCTGGTCTAATTGGGTTGCCTTAGTATGTCGATTCTTGGTATGCAATTTTTTATGTTCTTAAAGGATCCACAGCTCCATTTGCCCACAGCATTGAAGTAGTTTAAGCTTCCTGAAATAAACAGATGAAGTAATAATATGAAAACAAGTTGGTTTTACATATATTACGGAGTCATTTAAAAAATAGCATAATTTGACAATCACATCAGAAATAGTGAAGTGCCAAGCAAGGGCGAAAGTACCATTAAGGAATTCTTTCACAGTGTTCAATGATAAAGAATGAAAGTTCGGTCTTATTTTAATTAGACTGACAGTAATATTTGCTTGAACTTAAGTTACAAAATAGGTTAAGTGCAGTTTGTGTGCTTTGAAAAACCTACACTCACCTTAGGGAAAGAAACTCTGTATCAGCAATGTGAGCTCTTTTATCACATAATATATACAAAATCTCAAAGATAACAGCAATTAAAAAACAAAATATTTATTAACATTTTACATTTACAATTTCATTATTGTACAACAATAACTATTCCAAAATAACAATTATTTTCACAAAAAATATGATAACACTAGCACACCTTTGAATTTAAATTTCAGTTCTATTGCATTCTATAGTAAATGAAATGAAATGTTTTACGTCCTACTTTTCTGCAGGGTTCTATAGTAATGATAAAGATTGTTTGACAGCTACAGAACAGAACAGAAAAGAGAATTTAAAAAATATCATGTCATAGTCTGTGAGTCAGAATGTCACCTTGCAATAAAATTTTAATCTATATGTATATTTTTTGTTGGGAATTTTCTGCATAATCAAAAAATATAACAAGATAACTACTGGTGTAATCTTGGGGACAAAAATACTTCGAACTAGGAATTTTACTCACTATTTCTATGTATGTCTTTTTTATATATCACAGAGAATATTAAATTGACGAGTCATCATTTCAATACTCAAACGCAGATATTTCTGGACACACGTGTCAACATGAGTTGAAGGCTAAAAACTCTAGAAGGCAAATATTCAATCTTCAGCGCAGGACTGAATAATAAAACGAAGTTTTGTCAAAATCCAACAAGAATCATGCCTTTTAGTGTTTAAGAGCTAAATTTGACAGCGTTTTCAAGAACAAGGGCAATAACTCATACTAAATATTTTTCTGATTTTCAATAGGGTTTATCCTTGGGTGATAACACTCATGCCAAGTTTCGTCAAATACAAGTTAAAAATTGAACGCTTTTTCAAATACAAGGGCAACAACTAATACTAAATATATTTCGATTTTTCTGATTTTCAATATGGTTTATCCTTGGGTGATTACGAACACTCATACCAGGTTTCGTCAAAATCTGTCAGGAATTGTGCCGTCTAGAGTGTTTACGCGCTAAAAATTGAACGCGTTTTCATAAACAAGGGCAATAACTCATACTAAATATTTTTCGATTTATCTGATTTTCAATATCCTTGGTTGATAACAAACATTCATGCCAAGTTTCGTCTAAATCCATCAAGAATTGTCCCTTCTAGAGTGTTTACGAGCTAAAAATTGAACGCGTTTTCAAGAACATGGGGAATAACTTATACTAAATATTTTTCTATTCTTCTGATTTTCAATAGGGTTCATCCTTGGGTGATTATGAACACCAAGATTTGTCAAAATCCGTCGAGAATTGTGTCTTGTAGAGTATTTACGAGCAATTGTGGACGGACAGACGGACATGGGTGACGGCAATGTACGCCCCCCATTTCATGTGGGCGTATAACAAACACTGGCCATGGAATGAGAATTTGTTATTCGTATGCTTATTAGCAATCTGATTAAATACAGCTGTTGAAATTATGCTTATTTCAAACACATAATAAAATATCTGGAGCTGTATGTAAATTAGGAACTAGAATTGTAGGCTAGATAAGCAATACTATTTCTAAAACAGCAAATTATGAATACCTGTCACAATGTAAACTATTTATGTAGATTTTATAGACTAGATGAAGGTAAAATCTGGTTAAGCTAGAATAAGAAAAAATCCCACCTATACATAGTATATAACATATTACATGAAACAATTTGATGGAAACTAAAATCAATAAAATAGTATGATTTACAGTTCAAAATACTGTTTCATATTGATTACTATATATATATATTAATTACAATAAAAACACTTATACATAATAATAAGTTTCATTGTATCAATAGTGTTTTAGTGACTTCTAAAATCCAAAAGGGAGCAGAGGTGCACGGAAAAATATTACATAAGTTATAATTCAAAATGACTAAAGTTCTACTTTTGATATACTTGGCTTTCATGATGACCTTCTGCATTTCATACTCAAGTTTTAACCATTTGCTCAAACCGTTACTTATCTTTGGTTGAGATTATATATTCTTGTAAATTAATACTAAAGTATTGTCAACTGAATAACTTGACTTGACCATAGAGAGAGACTTCAAACTTTTTCATTTTTGGAATTACCATGAGCATACTAAGCTTTCGTGTATGCAGTTTGGTGCATTATAAATGTACATATAATCATTATTTTATGTTATTATAATCAAACACTGCCAAAACCGTATTAATATATAACATGTATTAAAATAAGTTTTGCATCTACTGTTTGATACTGACAATTTCTGGAAATTATACAATATAAGTTATTGGGGGTATCCTTGATATAGCATTCTAATAGTAACAAGTTTGAGCACTATTATCACCAATATTTACAATAAATTATTACAAAATATATACAAAATAGAGACCTCTTTGTCATACATATGAGGCTTGATCCAAAAGTTTTAGGCCTACGAAAATAGTAATTAATGGACATACACCTAGAGTAACTTATTACATTTCACAGCATTTCAAACGTCCAAAAGGCAATAGCTTAGATTGTCATCAAGAGAAAGACATTTGAACCAATCTAGGGTCAAAATGAATTCTTAAAGTTGAGTATCAAGTTGTGATAAAGTTTTTGACCTTGAAATGAATTGCCCTAAACGAGATTGTAAAAAGGCTTTCTAAATTTTTTAAGAGTATCAGGAACACTGATAGTATCAATTTTCACCATTCCAATTTTCAATCAGACGTCTGCGATATCTGCAATTCCACTAAAACTTTGGTGATGTCACTAATCGCTTAGAGCCTTACGTGATAAGCATATTTTGAGATTAGTCAAACACTTAGTTTTAGTGGAATTACTAAAACCTGATACTATCAGTGTCCCCAATACACATCAAAAAACCTCTTTAAAATCCCTTTAAGAAAAGCAATGTTCATCAAATGTTGATCAGAACTTCGTGGCAAATGTTATGCTGACAACATTAAATTGAAAGCTGTTGTGAATAAAAATTTTTTTAGAGTTACCACTTGAGGAGTACTTTCTGTCAGGAATTGGGAAGCTTAGAGTTTGATATGAGAAGCCTATTGTGAAGAAATGTGAATTTGTGGAAAAATAAACCAGTAAAAAAACTTGTATTTCCATCTAGTGGGCCTGAAACTTTTTGACACACCCTCGTATAAATCATAATTTTCATTGACCTGAAAATTCTTTCACAAACAAACCCAATAAAAAAATATACTTTGATCACACAATGTAATACTTGTAAAGCATAGATATTTTCATTTGATCACCAGCAATGTCAATTGTGTTATTAACATTGTTCATTATAAATCTAATGTAGATTAATACCAATTTTTCAAGTTTCTTTAATATTGTCATGTCATTTGGCAAATTAGGAATTTTAAAGACAAATAAATTTTGCATTCGAATAAATTGTGTGTCTAAAAATCCAAAAGTCTTCGAGTTGAATTTTTCAGTTGTTCAATCATATCCATTTCTAAATGGATATTCAATTTTTCCTATTTTTGTGTTGATAACTGTAATAAGATGTACAAAAAATTTAACACTTTAAGTGATTCCTTTTCATAATATAATAAATAATAACAGATCAGAAAGCTATCTTAGTTTTTATTATTCACCAGGTCCTATCACAAATGCTGACAGAGCAAATACTAAAAATACCACACCACCTATTAATGTCACTGAAAAATATAATATACATTTCATTTGAAAAAGAGGCAGAAGTAATTAAGATAATTAATGTTCCAAACATGATTACTTCACTGTCCTGTAAATCTGGCTTAAATATTGATAATGCAAAATTGCACCATATTCGATTACTTTTGAAAAAAATGATTCTCATCTGGACTAGTGTACAACAACACTTTTTCATTTTGAGATAAATGAAAGTGATGGATTTGTAAGAAATTGACATGATAAAATAAAACCTGACCTGTTCGTATAGAAATTTTTTGTGCTATCATTCTACCACCAATAACAGCTAAACCTGTACACAGGCCATGTCCTAAAAATCCACCTAACATAACACCATATACATCCTATAACATTATTAACATACAATTATTACAAAATATAACTTTTAAACTAAGTTCACAATATCATTTTCAAGCCTTCTGTTACACAACATCAATTTATCACCTAATATTTACAAAGCTTATGATTAATTAATGTAAAACTATTTTTAACAATGCAACGATGTTGATATTAATGTCTGTGAAACATCAAATGGAAAAAATTCAAAAAGCTTTATATTTTGCAAAGACAATGATTATTGATATTAAACAATCACTGATATCATTATAATGTGCTAATAAACGCACCCCCCCCCCCCCTTAAAATAATCTATACAGTAAGAGCTGCACAGTCCATGTGATTAACAGATACTAGTGAACTGAAGCTATTTAACGATCATATTTCATCCATCTTATTTTTTTTCTCTTCAATAATCAAACTATTTACTGTCATTTACAAGAAGAATGCAAATCAACAACTTTTAGTTGAAGAGAGATTCTTAATCATAAGAGATACTGACCTCACGAGCAGCTAATATAATAGTAGTAATTTGTGACCGATCACCCCATTCAGCTATAAATGTCATCACAAACGCTTGTAAAAATATCGTTGATAATATTCCTTTAAAAAAACTTCTCCCTGGAGTTCTTATAATACCAGATTCCATATCTTGTACAGGCATATTCTGCCTTTCTCTCTAAATATATATTATAGAAATTATTGAACTTATTCTAGCAAATTATTCACTTGAAAGACCTCCAAATTATTTGGACCTGAATTGTCCTTAACAATTTTTGTGAGCACGAAAATTCAAAGATTCCCAAGTATTTACCTTATTTCAAGGTATCTTTTTGTGGTATTTATTCCATTGTTTTCCAATTTGCTATTGAAAATATCTAGACTAAACCAATTGTTTTTCATAACCCCCTTGAAACCACCATTTCTGTGTTTGAGTTCAAGTCCAAATACTTTATTGAATTTTAAGTTTTCAGTGTATCTCAAATTCAAATATGCCAAATACTACATAGTTTATAATGGTAAAATCTCACAAAGGATAAATTATCAACCTACCTCTTCCTCTTTTTTTCTCAGATCAGCTTGAACTTCTTCATATTCTTCTTGTCCTTCATCAGCAGACATATACCATCCTAATAATACAAAATATAGTTTTACATTCCACTTTTATACACCTTGTTGGTTAAGACTGATAATACAATGAATTGTGAAATGAGAAGAATTTTATGCTGACAGTATATATATCTATTTTTTTTCATTAATGTTAAAAGTTTCTTTAACATACACAACATATTAAGGGAACTTGAAGTCTTACATCTTGTATTCAGCCATAGTGGAACCAAAAATCAAAACAGTTCCGGTCAGCCATCATGCTTAAAGATGGGTTCCCTTATTTTCATTTATGAAAATGGAAATACTAATACTTATATGAATAGAAAGTAGAGGTGTTCTTATGACTTGGAAAAACACCAGTTTGTCTCACATGTCCATAATTTAGCTAAATAAGAAGAAAATTACCAACAGAATTCAAATGAGTGACCGATCAAGAGAGGTCAAACAATTTTTTTTTTGTTTATCCAGAGTGTACAAACTTGGACAATTATGATTGGTTAGAACTCTAAATCATATGCAATAATAACATGATGATATGATTAAGAATACGTGATAATTCATTAGAAACACCAATTAATCAAATAGTTTGCTTAATTTGACACTAAAAAATAAGGAAACCCATCTTTAAGCCATTGCTAAAAGTTTCTATTTTAACTAGTAATATTAATTTTTATGAGTGAATGTACTGAAATACAAATAAAATAATTTTTTGCTTAAGAGACTTAACTAGTCTTTAGGTCTATTGCCACAGTGTAGCAACAGCCTTTTAGGTAATTCTGTAATGTGATTTGTTCAGATATGTAGAATTTAGAGCAGATGAGATGGTTCAGATTCCCTCAGATGTCAAATTTATCATGTGGCATAATAAGCTTTCAATCTGACCCCTCAGACAATATCATTCTATTACACAAACTGCAGGATGTTCATCATTCATTGCTCAATAAATATTTGGATTTCTTGTGAATATCCTGCACAAAATCTTGGCACATAACTCTTTGGAGATAATAACAAGGATATTGGACAAAGTAGCTATAACTTACCTTCTTTTAACATTTTTAATCCAAAGATTGCAAATAATATTGAAGATACATAATATGTATAAATTCTAGGTATAACTGTAGTAGCAAAACCCAGTAAAGCTGAAATAGACACATAAAAGTATGATAGTTTTCAATTTTGATCAGACAGCTAATCATATATTTTTGGGTTTCATAACAGCCTTTTATAGTTACAAAAGGAACAGTGCATTGTTTCTCTGTAAAGAGGTTTTTCTAAATTTTTTAAGTGTATTGGGAACACTTATAGCATCAATTTGCACCATTCGAATTTTCAATCAGGCGTTTGTGGTTCCTGCAAGAAAATAATGATGACATCACTAATCGCGAAGGGCCATATGTGATAAAGCATATTTTGCATCAAATAATTATTTTTTGTAGAATTGCAGAAACCAAAAACATCTGATTGAAAATTAAAATAGTCTACAGAAATACTAGAAATATAAAAAAAATTGCATAATTCTTTCAAAAATATCTCATACCGGTACTAGGAATTTTATCCATAATTTCTATATGTTTTTTTTATGTATCACAGAGTAACTTAAAATGATGAGTTGTCATTTTAACATTCAAATTCTGGATATTATGGAGTTGAAGGCTCAAATTTAGCTGTGAAAACTCTTACTGATTAGCATAGCTTAAAAATTCCTGTTTCCAAGACTAAAGTATGATTGGTCAAAAAGAATGGTGCACATGTTCCTTTAATAATCTAACCAAATTAATCTGAAAAGCTATGACAAGAAGACCCCGAGGCTGGAAGTCCTGAGGCTGAAATCAAGATGGTCATTAAGATGTTTGAATACATAATATCAACTGTTATAAAAGACAATAAATAAAAAAACAAACAATTTAATCTATACATCAAATAATTCAGGTGATAACAAAGTTAATTAGCCAAACCAATATATACAATGTAGAGCTTCACTGAATCGATTCTATGAGTATGACACTTCTACTGAAAGCAAGCCATTGAATATCAAACAACATCAATAATCAAATATTGATAATGGTACGGTATACATGGTTAAAACTTAAAAGCCATATAAACACTTACCTGATAATATTGTCATAACAACTAGAGCTCCTAACGCACCAATCAACACTGTCAATCTGGAATGACGCATTGCCATAATAGCAGCAATGAAAAAAGTTTTATCACCCAATTCTGAGACAATAATAACTGATAATGAAGCAATGAAGGCATGGATGAAACCCAAATTGCCTTTGCGTGTACGAATTCCATGGATAATATCTCCAACATCAGAAATATCTTCATGTGAATCTGGTGCATCCTGGAAAATGAAATAATAATAAGAAAAATTGCAGTTTTCAGCAATTAAAACCTTCTATACAAAAGTAAAATATGTCAGTCAAAAATAAGTCTTTGCATCAAGAATCAAGGTTCGAATCTAAAAACAAGAAAAATTAGTATTATGAGGTAACTCCTTAATACATGACCTCAACTATAGATTAATGACAAAAGAAAAAAAGAAACTTCTAAGTCTAATTATTCTTCATTAATGGCACAACTACATATTGAAAAATCTGAAGAAACTCACTGAATCTGGTTTGGAAAGGATATGTCTGTCTGTACTCTGCGACAGACTGGCTTCAAATATAGCGAATAAGGTGATCGCAACACAAATCATAGTCCAAAAAGGTCTAATAAAGGACACAGTTGAAAACATATTACGCATCCTATATTCACAGACCATAAATATTCACAGACCATAAATATTTCACAAATATAAGGTGGTAAGAAAGATTTAAAAGAGTTGACTGAATCCAATGGCAATGCCAAAAGCTATTTGTTTAGTTGTTTAGTAATTTTAAGAATGTCGTAATTTAAGCACTAAGTGAACTACGACAAGAACTTATTCATCTATTTTTGTTAACAATTTCCTTATTCTTTTTTTTCGTGTCAAAAAATTGTTTTTCAACTAGTGTTGAAGGGTGGTCCTCTCTTCACTCCTTCTTCAGCTTCTTCCAAAATCAAATCACTGATATTATTGTGATAAGAAATATAGGCAGGCTAATACTTCACTTCATCTGAATATCTCTAATATAAACTTCATACGGTCATTCATTAAACCAATAAAAGTCAATTCTAACATTTAACAGTACATCTATTCTGTTTCACTCTTTACCAAGGTCTAACTCAATAACTCAGTAATTTTTGTAACGTCGACGGTGCATTACCGGAAGTGATTGAGTTGTGTACGCAACCGGAATTCCTAACTTTTTTATAATGTTTTATATTGTAAACGAAAATTCATTAAAAATTCTTTCTGTACGAGAGGACAGTGGTTTGTGTTACATCTAGTTCAAGTATCAATTTTGTTGTCATGTCAAAAATTGATTGGCCCGAGCTTGTTGGACTGGTAATAATTACTGCTTTATTATTGATTTATTATATAGGCTACACAGATAGATATCACAGGCATCTGTTTCTATCAAAAGTCGATTCTCTCTAAAAAAAATAGTATATACAGTGGTGTAACCTATTTTCGTGGATATAAGGATTCAACACCGAATTTCGTCAAAGTTAAAAAAACGAAACAAAATTTTTATGACTTAGATGTTTCCTCAGATATTCTACAAAATAATTACAATTGGTTTATTTCTATTTTCTTTATGAATCCTTCACTTTGACCCATATTTCATGAGCAACCAACTCGGCAACGGCGGCAGAATGCCTCACCTATTTTCGTGTACAATGTTTGATCTATAAATAAGTCTAGAAAAACACGTTGTATGGATACCGGATGGTATAATTACCTTCTCTTAGTATTTATCTTTAATATCAATTCATTATAACTAGCACAATTCCTTCAAAGAACCACGATAAAAAGAAATAGTGACTGACAAAATAAGATACGTAGCGTGATTTATTGCTAAAAGTCATTGAAACAACATAAGAATACGGTCCACTTCGTGTTCCATAGAAATTTTCTGCTGACACGGAATCCGCTAGTTGATCATGTGATTTCATTCGTTGGACTACATTCTAGCAGACGACACTTGGAATTCCGATTACCGCTTGGGATTATAAGGAAATTCGGCCGATAAAAAATGGTGACGTTTGGTAATAAGTGAAATCCGCCATTTTGTATTTGTCAAAGTATCCATTAATACATTTTACCTTGCTTGAAACTACTGGATTCATTCTACTAGCTGATATTGTAGAGAAAACCCATGTTTATAAGAAAAAACTAATGCGGAGGTCGCGCAAGGTCGCTCATGTAAATTATTAATCGTTTCCGAAAATCCACGAATAATATGTTTCCATGAAATTAGGTTACTTGATTATTACAGTCAAGTAACCTAATTTCGTGCTAACCTATTTTTCGTGCATTTCCGGAAATGATTAATAATTTATATGTGCGACCTCGCGTGACCTCCGCATTTGCTTGTTTTGATAAACATAGATTATGTCTACAATGTCAGCTAGTAGAATGAATCCAGTAGTTTCAAGCAAGGTAAAATGCATTAATGTATACTTTGACAAATACAAAATGGCGGATTTCAGTTATTACCAAACGTCACAATTTTTATCGACCGAATTTCCTTAAAATCCCTAGCTGTAATCGGAATTCCAAGTAGGTAGGTAGGTAGGTAGATGACAAGTTAACGTTCGCTTCCAGCGGATGCTGATATCGCAAACTAGGTTGTTGGTAGTCGTAGTAGTTGGATTGGATCAAATTGGATGATTCTGTGTTGTTGGTTTGGTTGTTGATTCTTCGTTAGATCTGGTCGGATCGAATGACATGACGGTGAAACTCGGCCCTGGATGGTGTGGCGTGAGTTACTCGGTCTCCTTCATTCTTCCAAACTCGTTCTGATCATGTTATTTCTTGTTGATTGGTAGTCGAATGGTAGTCGTTGGTTGGGTTAGATTATCTGTCTGTTAGAAAACTAGAAGACCAGAAAAAAGGAAGTGAGAAAAGAGGGAGGAAAAAAAAGGGGGGGGGGGGAGCTTTCAACAAATGGGGGAAATATGTTCTCTGATGTTTCTGCAATGAATTGAATATAATTAAAAAGTGTTAAGAAGCTTTGAGTATAAAAACTGTTCAAGACAGATTTGGTTATAAAATGGAAGACTAGTTCCATTATCGTATACCAGTGGTCCGTGGGTGGAGCCAAAACATTCTGTATGGTGAATGGTATGCCGTTGGTTTCCAGGTACTCTAGCAGTGGCTTACGAGCGAGTTTCAGTTCAGTGCATTGAATGAGGACATGCGACCTTGTGGCAACGTGGCCGCAGCGACATTTAATGGCGTTGAACTGATGGTCTCGTAGTACGTTGTTGGTCCGGAGTCTGGTTGCCACTTTGCAGATGGCTACAGATGGATGGTTTGGTTTGGTTTGGTATCTTTGGATCAATCTGGTATCTTGCGGTGTCGAGGTTCCGTAACATGTCGGCCCATTTCTGGTTGATCCTAGAAGATACGATACTGCAGAATTCCGAATAGGAGTATTCTACAGGCCCGATATCCCCTAGACTCAGATTTTCCATGGCACTACGGTCTGCTTGACCATTGCCAGGAATGGAGACGTGCGATGGAACCTGGTCGTTGTTGGTTTGGTAGCTGTGGATCATTCTTCTTATTTCGGAAATAACGTCTGACCTGCAATTAGAAGAGGTGAGAAAAATAGATTGGAGGCTGCTTAGCGAGTCGGATAGAATCGCGGCATGCTCCGTGTGACTGACGGACAGACATGCTACCGCGTCCCTAATGGAAAGAAGGTCTGCTGTGAACACTGAACAGTGCGGGGGGATCCTTTTACTAATGCGACTGGGATGCACAAACCGTAACCTGTTGCGGTACTACTCTTGGAACCATCGGTGTAGATCTTCAAATGGTCGGCGTACACGGAATCAATGAGATCAAGAGCGCGAGCTCTTGCTCCCGCTGGGTTCTCGTGCTTGTTGGTACTCTGGATTAGCTGGGTGTTGACTGTCGGGTTGGTAACCTTCTTGGTATTCCAAGAGTCGTTTGCTAGAATATATTCCAACGAATAAAGTCACGTGATCGACTAGCGGATTCCGTGTCATCAGAAAAATTCTATGGAACACACTGTGGGCCGTATTCTTATGTTGTTTCAATGACTTTTAGCAATAAATCACGCTACGTATCTTATTTTGTCAGTCACTATTTTTTTTTAAATCGTGGTCCTTTGAAGGAATTGTCACTAGTTATAATGAATTGAAAATAAAGATAAATACTAAGAGAAGTTAATTATACCACTGGGTATCCATACAACGTGTTTTTCTCGACTTATTTATAGATCAAACATTGTACATGAAAATAGGTGACGCATTTTGGTGCCGTTGTCGAGTTGGCTACTCATGAAATATTAAAAGTGGGGGATTCGTAAAGAAAATCGAAACAAACCAATATTAATTATTTTGTAGAATATCTGAGGAAACATTTAAGACAAAAAAAAATTTCTTTTTTTGTAACTTTGACGAAATTCGGTGTTGAATCCTTATATGCACGAAAATAGGTTAAACCACTGTATATACCATTATAGAGAGAGTCGACTATTGATAGAAACAGATGCCTGTTATAGATATGCCCTATTTCTAAAAATAGTACTTTTAGTCTGTGTGTTGATAAAAAATATAATTTTCACATTTCTCTCTCATAAAATCAACCTGAACTACCAAAGAAATTTTGACTGAAAATTTAACCCTTTAAAAACAAATTTTTAACACAAAATGAGTGCTGCTCTGCTGCGATTTATATTTTTGTCAATGCAGAGAAATTCCAAAACTATATCTACTTAACTCAAATTACCTCGATTTTTTAATTTGGAATAATTTGGCCAAAATGAGTCTATGTTAATCAGTGGACTTACCTGGTGTTAAGGTGAAATGAGAATTTAACTCATAGAAAGCACGGTCCTAAGTCCGAATCAAGGACTATTCATTTAGAAGTGCTGGTTGGCTTAGTAATGTTTTGTTAGTTTTAACAATGGTACCGATACCGACTTGTCCTGTACTATAATAAAGAAAAAGTTGCTTTGTATAAATGTTTTTTTTACCCACTGGGCATATGAAAAATCATGTCATGTATGATAACATAGCTATGGCCATTAAAACAAGTTCGCAACGCATTCTGTGTTTCGTCAACAAATTAACATCACATTTTTATCAAGAAATTAGGTATATCAAATTTTTGTCAAGGCAAGAAAGGTACCATAACTACATAATTTAATAAAACTAAGCAATACTCCAAAAAAACTACAGGTACCGGGTAGGCCTAATTATTGATCAGAAATACAAATTAATGGATTTTTTGTTTCAGTTATTACACCAATTAAGTCCATTGAATATATACGCCTACTTTTAATGGCTTGATAATACATCTCTCTCCCAGACAATTTCCAGTGTAAATGACTTACAGTTCAAACTGATAATTCCTCTATTCATGAATTTCCAAATAATATTCTTTTTATGGCATTTTCATCAACTCCATGTATCAATGCATTATCTATGTTCTTGTTTATGCTTATGATTTATAACAGCCAGTTAAAGAGGCGGAAGACAAAATTAGATCAGATTATAAAAATATAATGGTAAGTATCAGTCCCCCCCACCCCCGATTTTTTTCGGTACAAATTCCTGTTGATAAACGCATATGCGAACAATGTGATTTTTCCTTGGTTGAAGATGAATACCATTTCCTCCTGATGTGATGTGTCCTAAATACAATACCCTTAGGAAAAAAAATAGCACTCCTACCATTTCACATTTAAATATTTCTTTGTCATTTCATGTTCTTTTTGATCCGCTAAATTACAGTTAGGCTCTATAGCTGTTTCTAAATTTATTTATTACGCACTAGAATCCAGAAAAAATAGGGTTTTTTTTATTATAATATTATATGTAAACGAATTACAACAGAATTATTGATATATATTGCTTATTCCTTTGGTGTTTTATTTTTTTATGTTAACTTAGAATGTGGGAGTCTTATTAGACTTAAAATAAAATAGTATTAATTTGCTTGATATAGTCCGTCATAGTGTTGCGCATTATTTTGTTATGATGTTGCTTTTTTCAAACTTGTTCATGTATACACTATATATTTTTTTATAACTATTAATTGATGTCAGTGTGTCATATTCATATCACTTATTATTATGTATTATCTTGTATGCTGCCCAAAGGGCGAAAAATACAATAAATATCTATCTATTAAACTTATGAATGGTGACTGATGAAAGTGCTGCTATAGAATTCAGATGTAGTTACCAATATCATTCTCCATTGTTAAAATCTTCAGGCCTATCATGGTATAGCTGATTTTTCAAGACTATATTTTTAAGCTGAGAAAATTAAGCATTTGTAGTTATGCATTTCATTGTTGAAAAAAAATTTTCTCCAACGAATACCTTTAACAAAAATCTATACTGTACTCTTAAAATATGAATTTCAGATTTGTATTTTGATATATTGTAATTTTTGTTTGTTTCTAGGTTCAAGTAGTACCAGAAAATTCTGGAGTTACTATGGACTATAGGGAAGATCGTGTTAGATTATTTATTAATTCTGAAAGTAAAGTAGCTACAACTCCTGTCATAGGATGATTGAAAGCGAGATCACCAAGAACGTCAATTGTTTAATGTTGTGTAAAGGGTCATCAGCCATTTGTTTTATGTATCAGGGACAATATTGGTTCTATTTGACATAATTTACTCTTAAATAAAAATATAATGAAAAAGCCATAAACGGCACTGAAGTTTACGAACAGTAGCCTACATGTGTTATTATCAGTATGTGACATCAAATCTGAAAATCACGACTTCCATGTATCAGTGTCAAAAAATTTTGATTTGGTTGTTTACACAAACTAAGAGTTAAAACAAAAACTATTATACATGTATTATCGTCAGTGATTTCAAATTATCAAAATTTAATATTCCTTTGAAAAGGAAAGATTATCAGATATATTTTTTAAGTATGTGGGAATGTTCTCAGCTTACCTGATATTAATATGCCCTGCCTTTGATAATAAAACATTTTGATTCTTATTCTTATTAATAGTATTTAATTCTGGACATACTAAATTTTGTGATCACATGTATTTTGATAATGTCCTTAATTCAGTGTTACATTGGGATATGAAGACAGAATTAATAGTAATATATATAATAGTATTACAGAAAAAGACCCATCTAATCAAAATTTGACCAAACTTTCATTTTGTTTTCAATAAGCTAAAGCTTTTAGTTTCACTTAACAACAATCGAATTACACTGGTACAATTCAGAACAGCCAATTAAAAATTAAATTTCAACAACATTTGGCAATCTTATGCTCTTCACAATACACCGATCTGTCCTTTTGTTTGAGTTACATAATCCCAGCACTTGAGAGGGAATAAATTTGATTGGTTGGAGGTATAGTATTAAGAGTGGTTAGCGTAAAAATAAAAGCTTATACAAATATAAACCATATAATTAAGTGATTGACTACAGATATCATATAAAACAAGTTTTCAGTAAGATTGAATGACTGAGTACAGATATCATATAAAACAAGTTTTTATACTCCCACACATTAATGTGGGCGTATATAGCCCCCGCCCCTGTCTGTCTGTCCACAATGTCCACAATTGTTTGTGGACACGATAGAGAGGTGGTTTCTTGATGGATTTTGACGAAAATTGGTGTGAGTGTTTGTAATCACCCAAGGATGAAGCCTATTTAAAATCAGACGAATCGAAAAATATTTACTGTGAGTTATTGCCCTTGTTCTTAAATTGTTTGTGGAAACGATAGAGAGCTGGTTTCTTGATGGATTTTGACGAAACTTGGTGTGAGATTTTGTAATTACTCAAGGATGAACCCTATTGAAAATCAGACGAATCGAAAAATATTTACTATGAGTTATTGCCCTTCTTCTTGAATTGTAAGCTGTAAACAAAACCCATGAATTATGAAAATTTTACTCTCAGAAACATTCATTTACTGATAACTCTTGTCAACCTCCCGGACAAATTAGCTGTCATTACAAATGTGGGCGTATTACGATGGCATCGATATTTTTGATATTATTAAATGATTAAGTACAGATTCACATAAAACAATTTTTCAGTGTTAGAGTGAGATTGAGATTTAAAAATCCCAATAAAAGCACTGGCCTAGGTCAGAAATCAGAGATAACTTTTGATTATCATAAGGTGTTTTTTAGTAACAACTAACTGTTAGTAAAATTCATATAAGAAAGAACCGATATAGCGGTTTCATAAAGAGTTCAAAAGAAAATGACTGAAGGTTGAATATTTCATACTGGTGAATGTTACTGTACTGCTAAATATTTTTATTCAAAATCAAAGCTGCCAGTGGGCGTATATTACCTTGCCTGGCAAGCTATCTTTAATATTATTAAATGATTGACTAGTGATTATAAAGAGATAGTTTGCTAGGCAAGGTAACATACGCCCACTGGCAGCTGTTAGAGATGATAACTAAATTATTGACTAAAGATATATATCTTCATAATAATACCAAATTTCTCATATTGAAGATATCCATTATGCATTTGTAGTTCAATATCCCTGAATATCTCATCAATTTAGGGTCAGTTATGCTGAGATTTTCCACAAATCGTTTTAAAGCAATAGCAATAACACAGAAGCGTTGAATTATCACACTCCTCTCGTGTCTGAAATTTTCAAAGATATATAAAAAGTAATCATCAAATTCAAACTATTAAGGTCTCCTCTACACAGACAAATTTGAACTTTACTGAGATCTCATTAATATATATCTGCATACCAGATTTAACATAGATCCGATAAAAACTGTAGCCACCATCGTGTTTACAAGTCAAATTTGATTTATTTTTACTAAGTCAAGGGCAATAAAACAAAAATCGTTCATCGAAAAATCGTCAAATTAGAACTTCACCGTCGTATTACCAATCCCAAATGAAATCAAAATCTTAGCAATTTTCTCTTTCACGGTAGACTTGACCCATTGAACAATGTCCATTCGCATAGATTTCTTAATATAAATGTATCATGTTATATCAATAAATTAATCGATTTCTAAGTTAGATTTCAGGGAATACTTATTTCAGGACTGGTGCCATGGTTATATACAGTATATTATATAACATGCAGTGTATGTTTGTGTGTGTGTCTTTTCAACTAAAACCATACTAATGACTAACTAATTTTCACATAATTAATAGACTTATCTATTGCTCTGTGACCTAGGCCAGTGCTTTCATTGAGACTCGTCTCAATACACCCGAACACCAAGTTTCATTACAATCAAATGAAAACTGTAGTCTCTCTTGTGCCCACAAGAAATGTTGACGGACCGACGTGGGCGTATAACAAGTTTTTAATATTAATGATTGACTACAGATATCATATAAAACAAGTGTTCATTATCATTAACTGATTGACTACAGATATCATATAAAACAAGTATTAAATATTATCAAATTAAACACTACGGTAGTTCGTATACCACATCATATATTTTTTTTAAATTTTGAATTAAAAAACTGGAATATAATTACAAAACATAATTTTGAATTGAAAACTTGTATTTTCACCCGGGTGAAAATTCCAGACTTTGGAATTAAAAACTTGAATTTCCACCCGAGTGAAAATTATTTTCACCCATTTGATAATTCTAAAATTTTTAATTAAAAATTAATTTTCACCCGGGTGGAAATTCAAGTTTTTAATTCAAAATTCTAGAATTTTCACCTGGATGAAAATGAAAGTTTTTAATTCGAAAATCAGAAGAATCGAAAAATATCTAGTATGGGTTATTGCCCTTGTTCTTGAGAACGCGTTCAATTTTTATCTCGTCAACACTCTAGAAGGGACAATTCTTGATGGATTTTGACACAATATGATGTGAGTGTTTGTTATCACCAAAGGATGAACCTTATTCAAATCGAAAAATGTTACATTGGAGTTATTGAGCTCTTTCTTGAAAACGCTTTCAAATTTTAGCTCTTAAACACTTAAATGCATAATTCTTGCCGGATTTTGACAAAACATGGTTTTATTATTCAGTACCAGGTTGAATATTTGTCTTCTAGAGTTTTCACGAGCTCAAAATTGAACACGTTTTCAAGAACAAGGGCAATAACTCATACTCAATATTATTCAGTATCGCCCCAAAGAGTTCAAAAGAAGTGTATGACTGAAGGTTGTATAATTCATACTGGTAATTGATTTTGATTACTGTAAATTGATGAGATATTCAAAGCTGTTGAACTACAAATGCATTATGAAGAATTTTTTTTCCTATAAGCATGCATTACATGCGTCGATAATTAGAATTGGAGATGAGGTCATATAGACATCTAGAGGCGTGTATTGTATAATAAGCCCGGTATGGATGTTTTTACGTGCGAAGTATATAAAAAAAAGTGCTTTGTGAAGCTTATAAAAAAAAGTGCTTTGTGAAGCTTTGTGGGTTGACATCCTTGGATGTTGGAAATGAGAAGGGTTCAAAATAGATCAAAAAACTTCATTATGATACATTGCTCAATCCTCGGCAGTTTCCGTAAACCATGCGTAATCTGTTGCAGAGCTTTAGTGTAACTTTCAAAAAGACCGTTTGTGATCATGATATTGAAAAACAAAGTGACAACTTTTAATATAACTGTAACTTTTTATTGTAATATTGTGCATAAAGTATGTTTGTATACAAAGGATTGTTGGAAAAAACGATTCATCTTTCTCAATCTCATTAATTTATACAGCACCACCAAATTTAGCATTGCACGTGCAATGGTTATTACATTTAACACGAAGGCCATTCCCCCATCTGTCACACCTCTTTAAATCATGCTATAAGTAATTTATAGCACGTTTTCTTTCGTTGACCGTTTAAAACGGTTAACTCATGACAACTGTGCTTTAAATATTACCTATGACTCTATGGGCAGGCGTGAAATTTCGACCCTCTCACCATGACAGTCTTTGGCTATATTTTACGTTCTTCGGCTGTCTTTTACGTTCTTCGGCTGTGAAAAGGCGGAACAGGGTCAACATGGCTGACGGAAGCCTTTTTGTGGGCGTCAACAACAAGCCTATTTGTAAATGATTGCTCTATTTACAGTTTCCAGCCCATGGTTTGTACTTTACTATGCAACTTGGACATTAAGTTGGTTATTAATGCATCAAGGATTTTCACTGATTTTTGCCTACTTTCTTCTCAACGCAGACTGTGCCGACATTTATCATTTTAAAGGTTCTTAAGAGATGCGGCATTGGGTGGTTGATTTTAGCCTTGAATACATGTAAATAGTCGTCAGAAGAAAATATTATAATTCCATTAAAAATACTTCAAACTAGGTATTTTACTCACTATTTCTAATATGTCTTTTCTATAAGCTTATAGTAGCAATGCAAATGGGAAGTAGAAATAATTAAAATAAAATAATTTTGTTCTTGTAAATGGGTTATGATGTACTACTACTAGTACAGTGGTGTAACCTATTTTCGTGGATATAAGGATTCAACACCGAATTTCGTCAAAGTTAAAAAAATGAATTTTTATACGCCCAGACATAAGATGGGCGTATATTGTAATCACCCCGTCGGTCCGTCCGTCCGTTCAGATTTGGCTCGTGCTCACTCTACAGGCTACAGTTCTTTATGGATTCTTTTGATTTTTATTTTGTGTGTCAATGTCATTATGAAGATGATCCCTATTGATTTTCGTGATGATCGGATAATTTTTCACCGAAATATCGTGTCTGACTTGACGTTTTTCTCTATTAGCTATATTGTGCAACTCGTGCTCACTCTACAGGCTATAATTTTTTACAGATTCTTTTGATTTTTATTTTGTGTGTCAATGTCATTATGAAGATGATCCCTATTGATTTTCGTGATGATCGGATAATTTTTCACCGAAATATCGTGTCTGACTTGACGTTTTTCTCCATTAGCTATATTGTGCAACTCGTGCTCACTCTACAGGCTACAATTTTTTACAGATTCTTTTGCTTTTTATTTTGTGTGTCAATGTCATTATGAAGATGATCCCTATTGATTTTCGTGATGATCGGATAATTTTTCACCGAAATATCGTGTCTAACTTGACGTTTTTCTCTATTAGCTATATTGTGCAACTCGTGCTCACTCTACAGGCTACAATTTTTTACAGATTCTTTTGATTTTTATTTTGTGTGTCAATGTCATTATGAAGATGATCCCTATTGATTTTCGGATGATCGATAATTTTTCACCGAAATATCGTGTCTGACTTGACGTTTTACTCTATTAGCTATATTGTGCAACTCGTGCTCACTCTACAGGCTACAATTCTTTACAGATTCTTTTGATTTTTATTTTGTATGTCTATGTCATTATGAAGATGATCCCTATTGATTTTCATGATGATCTCTCGATTTTCATCATGATCGGATAATTTTTCACCGAAATATCGTGTCTGACCTGACGTTTTACTCTATTAGCTATATTGTGCAACTAACTAATACTAATACTAACAAATAGTATTGTTTCTATTTTCTTTATGAATCCTTCTCTTTGACCCATATTTCATGAGCAACCAACTCGGCAAGGGCGGCAGAATGCGTCACCTATTTTCGTGTACAATGTTTGATTTATAAATAAGTCTAGAAAAACACGTTGTATGGATACCGGGTGGTATAATTAACTTCTCTTAGTATTTATCTTTAATATCAATTCATTATAACTAGTGACAATTCCTTCAAAGAACCACAATTTTAAAAAAAAAATAGTGACTGACAAAATAAGATACATAGCGTGATTAATTGCTAAAAGTCACTGAAACAACATAAGAATATGGTCCACTTTGTGTTCCATAGAAATTTTCTGCTGATACGGAACCCACTAGTTGATCACGTGACTTCATTCGTTGGACTACATTCTAACAGACGACACTTGGAATTCCGATTACCGCTTGGAATTATAAGGAAATCCGATAAAAAATGGTGGCGTTTGGTAATCACTGAAATCCGCCATTTTGTATTTGTCAAAGTAACTATAATAAATTTTACCTTGCTTGAAACTACTGGATTCATTCTACTAGCTGATATTGTAGAGATAACCCATGTTTATCAAAACAAGCAAATGCTGAGGTCGCGCAAGGTCGCACATGTAAATTATTAAACATTTCCGGAAATCCACGAATAATAGGTTTCCTCGAAATTAGGTTACTTGACTGTAGTTGGAAAAAGTGAAAACAAAACCAAAAAATATTGAAAAATAAAAAAGTTATGCAATATTTAAGGTCTTTAAGAAGTGGGCTTGGCAAATGAAAATTTTTCTCTTTTTCGTTGAAATACAACCCGATCGCATAATTGGTCATTTTTGATTATAACATCTTGAAAAATCTACATGGAAAAATATTCATATCTTCTCTCGATGAAAAACTTTACAGAATTAAAATATCTTGATTAGTCTTTGAGATATTCCATGATGAATGGGGTAAATATTGGAGAAATATGGTTGTTATTTGTATGATTTCTTCACACTCATTTTATAAGTGATATACGGAACAAGTCATTAGAAGATTAAAACTATTTTATAATACATGTAACTTAATTACAATTTAATTTAAAGACAATAGGTAATTTTCATAATATCATGAGTTCCTACATTCCCAAATCTGAATTGGTAAAACACACACATAGGATAGGCCTACCAAATAATGATAAAGTGAAAGTAGACCTGATGATCAAATAATTTAAATAATATGAAATTATCTGCTCAAAATATACCAGTACTTAAAATTAAGAAATGATAGTTTTAAATCATTTATGAGTTTAGTGTTTCATATAAACTGAAATTGCTTGAAATCAACTTCAATTTTTCGCATTTGTTACGCTTCAAGAGTGTTCCAAAATGGCCGCCATTATCACCCTTTTATGCTGGAAATTTATATTTCACCGTTTTGGCTAAGTTTTAATGCCGATTTTTTTAGTATTAATTAAATATAGGAACCTAAAATATATTCTCAATGGGGTCTCATATAGGAAATCGAATTTTAACACACTTTTGTGGTTATGTCACTCAACCTAATAATAATAATAATAATAGTTCTCTTATATGGTGCATATTACTTTTCAGTTCCTATTGCGCTTTCGATCAATAAATTTCTGTGAATGAAGTAATACTCAAGAATCATTAAATAAGAAATATTTTATGTTTTTCTTGAAGGTGTCAATAGATTTTGAAAATCGCAATTCTGATGGTAAACTGTTCCATTGTGCAGAGTAAGAGAAAGCTCATTTGGTGATTTCGAGGTTAACTGATGGCACACTTAATAAACACTGACTTAAGGTTCTTGTTAGATTTGAAAATTCGATCAGTTGTTTAATGTATGTTTGAGATTTTTTGTTTATGGCTGTAAGTTTGTAAAAGTATTTTAAATTCAATTTGTTTTTTCACTGGTAACCATTTCCTGGTGTTCGTTAAAAATCGAGCCGCTGAATTTTGGATATGTTGTAGTTTTTCTATTTGGTATTCTGGAAGTCGGTGAAAAAGGGCATTGTGATAGTCCAATGTAGTTGTGATGAAGGCATGGATTAGATTTTCTTTGGCGGTTGAAGTTACACATTTCCCAATCTTTGATATTTGTTTTAGAAGGTAGAAAGCGGTAGAATAGGTGGAGTTAATATGGTGTTTGAAGGACAGATTAGAATCAATCACTGACCTGAAAAAATTCAATTCAAAGGTTAATAGATCCAGTCAGAATCGAGAATTTGTTGGATGTGATCTAATTAACTTCTTGGAAATTATGGAATTATATATTGTCCAATTTTGCTCATGTTTTCTTCATTGTAATTCTTTTAACAAGAAGAAAATACTAGCAGGTGAAAAAATTACATTAGCTCTGATGTTAATTGAAATTTGCTATTTTGGTTGCTATTGTTAGATTGATTTGATTCACGGGAACCTTTTGTTTTTTGCTACCTGTGCAGCATTGTAGCATGTAGGCTGTTATCATAGAACAGTGCTATACTGTGTTCTCATGTCACTGATATAATTTTTCTTTGCATGACATTCAACAGATTATCAAAAAGCTTACAGCATCTGATGGCTACTTTGTTGATTTTCAGAATGTTAAACATTGAAGAGACAAAGTTAGAAGATGCACTTATTTACTAACAAGAGCACATAAAGAATTTGATATGAGGTTTAATTCGAAGGAGTTGGTGCATATGGCACAGAATGGAGTGAATTTTGATAAGGAAGGGGTGTTATTGATGAAAGAAAGACAAGATACTTTGTTAAAGAAAAGAGAAGGTTAGAATAAACAATATATCTGCCTTTTTATAGGCCCACATGGAAATGTGGACGTATATATCCGTCGCGCCTGTCCGTCCGTCCACATTTGTTGTATGCATGATAGAGGCTACAGTTTTTATCTGATCTTGATCAAACTTAGTATGCATGTATATATTGATGAGATCTCGGTCAAGTTCGAAATTGGTAATAATCGGATGAATGGTTTCAGAGTTATTGTCCTTGACTTAGTAAAAACGCATTAAATTTGGCTTGTATGCACGATAAAGGCTGCAATTTTTATCCAATCTTGATGAAACTTAATGTGCACTTATATGTTGATAAGATCTCTGTCAAGTTCGAAATGGGTAACGATCGGGTTAACGGTTTTGGAGTAATGGCCCTTGATAGAGACTACATTTTTTATACGATCTTGATGAAACTTCGCATGAGATCTCAGTAAAGCTTGAAATTAGTAAAAATCGGATGATTGGTTTCACATATTAAACCACTACAGACTTTGTTATCATTTCTGACAGCTGGTAGTGTGCGTCTGTTACCTTGCCTGGCAAGCTATCTTTTTATATGCTCACATGTAATGTAGAGAGTATATTGGCATCACCCATGTTGTCAGTCTGACTGTCCATTGAGAATTCTTGATGGATTTTGACAAAACTTGGTAAAGGTCTTAATTATCACCCAAGGATAAACCATTTTGAAAATCAGAAAAATATCTAATATCAGTTATTGCCCTTCTTTTTAAAACATTACGGTAAACATTAAAGTATGAGTTATTACCCTAATCACATGTTAATTTTTTACCTTGTCAATACTGTACTCTATAATTCTTGCCCGATTTTGACAAAAATATTATTCATTATCACCCCATAAAAGTACATAAGAAGTATATGACCGAAGGTTGAATAGTTCATAATTAATGGTGATTGCTACTGTACTGCCAAATATTTAAAATCCAAGCTACTATTGGGTGTATATTACCTTGCCTTGCATGCTGTCTTTTACCTCAATATTTTGTTATTTTTTTTTTCAGCATATGTTGAAAGATATTTTAGACTAAAAGGAAATTTGCTGTTTTATTTCAAGAACAAAGACTCTATTCAAGTAAGATTAGTTTTGCTTGGAAGGGGAATGCAGTACGTTGTAAATTAGCTTTCACCCCTGTCCTGGCTGTCTGTCCATCTGTTCCTGCACATTTCTTGTAAACACGATAAGGGATACAGTTTTTATCCAATCTTAAAGAAACTTGGGGTGTATGTGATCTTGGTCAAGTTCAAATTTGGTTCTTTTTGCCTAAAAACGTGTCTAATTTGGTCTGTAAACATAATTGAGGCTACAGTTTTTATCCGAACCTAATATAACTTACTTTGATGTTTTTATTGATAAGATCTCGGTCAAGTATTTGGCTAATTGTTTAGTTATTGCCCTTGATTTAGTTAAAGTGCACTTAATTTGGCTTGTAAACATGTTGGGGGCTACAGTTTTTATCCATTCTTGATGAAACTTCGTATGCAGGTATATATGAGATCTTAGTCAAGTTCGAGTTTCTCAATGTTGATGAGACCTTGTTAGTGTGTATTCGGTGATACCTTGTTATATATTTTTAAAAATTTCAGACACGAGAGGAGTGTGATAATTCAATGCTTCTGGGTTATTGCTATTGATTTGAAAATATTTTGTGGAAAAACTCAGCATAACTGACGTGACTGGCTGTGTCTACAAATGCATTATGAAGATCTTTAATATGAGAAATTTGCTATTATTATGAAGATTTTTATGGTATTTATGGTTGTTTCTGACAGCTGCCTGTGGGCGTATGTTACCTTAGATGGCAAGCTATGTTTTGTCATGTATTAATATCAATTCTTGTTATATTTTGATATATATCTAATTAAATTTATTCTTCATTATAGAAATCAGAGCCATTGGGATTAATGATATTAGAAAGATGTACTGTTGAATTAGAATCTAAAGAAGAAATACCTAATGCGTTTGTTATGGGTAAGAGTGATGTATTGATAATAATTTAATTTATGTTTTAGCAATTAGGTTTTAGATATATATCAGTTAACATCATAATTTGTACACTTGCAGTAATGCGTTTTTATGTCTATTTGTGTAAAATATAATATATTCAAGATATGATGTAATTAATTTGGAGTCAGTTCTAAATGTTGGTGTCTAGTTTCTGAAATCGCTATTTAAAGAAACATTTGTCCTGTAGAATTAGTAACTATAATTAAATAATATTTATTACAGTGTTTGAAGGAGAAAACAATGTGTTTAAATTTGCTGGTGTTTCTGAAGATGATAGAGATGACTGGATAAAGAGTCTACATATAGCCAGTTATGAGTGCCTGAAAATGCAGCTTGAGAGTCTGACTGATCAACTACAAGGCAAAACTGGTAGTAATCCATTCCCACAACAACCTCAAGCTCATTCTGGAGTAGATTTAGACAGTCATTCGGGTGCGAACTAAGTCTTATTTTCTCCTCAGCTATAATACAGCATGTTTTTATGGTACATTTTCATACTTTTACTTCCTTGATTTAATCTTTCATTTTATCATGTTAATCTAGAATCATAGTCCTCTCTCAAGTAATCAGGTTTGGCTTTATATTTTCATTACATAATTATTCTGCTCACTGCTTTAGAAGCACTGCTATTTATCACTAACATTATACTGTAGTTAAGCATGGTTAGAGTTTACCAACATAGGCTATCATAGACATAAATCATTGCCAATTGTTACCTCTTGATTCTTGGATGTATGTTTTCGTTTGCATTTCCATTCATTTGACTGTCTGCAGGTTTGTCTTCCAATTGGCCTATCACATTTCTGTGTACCTTTTAACATACATTTTGAATTTTTCGAGTGTGGTGCAAAGGTATTTGTGCTCATCCCAGTACTACTCATGTTAATGTTTCGAATCTTGCCCTCATGAACTCTAAAAGCTTTGCTGGACTATACTTTTCTGAGAATTAATAAAAAGTGAAGTTTTTAAGAATGTTGTGGACTGTATTTTGATTTGATGTCTCATTCAGACTCATTGCTATATCATTATAATAAAGTCTTTGAATGGCATTTAGCAATTGTGAGTACGCTATATAGACACAGCTTTATGGAATAAAAATCACTGGTTAAAGTTTTATCGTTGTGAAGATGGTGTGTAACATGGTGCCTAAGACTCTTAACTTCTAGCAATTCAATGGTTACCAGTAAAACCTGTCAACCAAACTAATTAATTGGCATACTGTCTTTTTTATCATCATATCAAACCTTATTCAATATCTCTTTGTGTTCTTTAGAAATTTAGCAAATTTATGTTATTATGAAATTTCTTATGCAATAACATTATATTTTCACTGTTAAAATAGTAGAGATATTTCTCAAAGTTATTTAACAAGACTGTGAATAATGTTTTTGGCTATAATGGTTCCAATTATTGATGTGTTCAGCATACTTCAAAGATTAACGCCCACATTTTATTCACCCAAGTACATTGTCCAGGCTTCAACATCTTTCTTTTGACATGCTTTGGTTTTCTTAATGTTCTCATAACCTGTTATAACTTCCTAATTTAACTATCCTATGTTAATATTCACATGCTCTAAAAAATATCCTTTTGTTTTTTTAATTCCAAGACTAGAATTTCCTAGAATTATTACATTTTGAGTCATCAAATTAGACATAAAACATTTAAATGAGATGAAACATCTGAAACTTGGTATCATAAGACTTATTTGCATTGCCCAATACTTGAAAATCTGTCTTTCCTTGAAAATTAGGCTAGCATATCTATAGGGATCATGATATTATTTGATTATTCTGATTTTAGTCACTAATTTCAATCCAATTGAAATTTTTTGACACTATAAAGCTTTAGTCCTGAATATAAGTTTACTTTAATTTAGATGTTGATATTTGTAGTGCTATGTTATTTTATGAAAAATGTATACTTGAACTATTTTTCAGAAGACAATATTAATGAAGAAAGTATTTTAGAAGTGTCTTTAGGTAATATATGATTTATTACATGTAATTCAGGTTAACCTTTTAAAGTTTGTAACAAAAATATAAAGGATAACAACTATGGTTCACAAAAGAATCCTTCTACCAACTGGTCCTGGACAAATCTCTTGGCATTAATCTTTCCTGAATTATCTGTACCCATTTACAGCTGAATTATGAGTGAAGATAACTTATAAGATTTTCACACACAGACTGAGTCTGGACACTATTTGTCCGTTGTGACCAAGCAAATGACGTTATGTAAAGAACCAACTCTCTAAACGAGAGTGTTTCAGAACCGAATAAAAGTAAATATGTAGACAACTTCATCTCCATATCTTGTTACCTAAAATGGAGAAAAAAATAATTAGATAAGACTCCTACATGATCAATGAATCTGAATTTGAATTACATAAATTTTATTTCCTATTTTTTATTTTTAGAATGTAGTGATTTACCTTGTGATAGTAGTGGTCAGTTGCCTAATCCTTTATTAGTTTTACATACATTATTACCTCCTGATCAATTATTATGGTCTCCTCATAATCATACAGAAATAGTAGAGGTTAGTAAGATACAGTTTACACTATTACCTCCTGATCAATTATTATTGTCTCCTCATAATCATACAGAAATAGTAGAGGTTAGTAAGATACAGTTTACACTATTACCTCCGGATAAATTATTATGGTCTCCTCATAATCATACAGAAATAGTGGAGGTTAGTAAGATGCAGTTTACACTATTACCTCCTAATCAATAATTATGGTCTCCTCATAATCATACAGAAATAGTAGAGGTTAGTAAGGTACAGTTTACACTATTACCTCCTGATCAATTATTATGGTCTCCTCATAATCATACAGAAATAGTGGAGGTTAGTAAGATGCAGTTTACACTATTACCTCCTGATCAATTATTATGGTCTCCTCATAATCATACAGAAATAGTAGAGGTTAGTAAGATACAGTTTACACTATTACCTCCTAATCAATAATTATGGTCTCCTCATAATCATACAGAAATAGTGGAGGTTAGTAAGATGCAGTTTACACTATTACCTCCTAATCAATAATTATGGTCTCCTCATAATCATACAGAAATAGTAGAGGTTAGTAAGGTACAGTTTACACTATTACCTCCTAATCAATAATTATTGTCTCCTCATAATCATACAGAAATAGTGGAGGTTAGTAAGATACAGTTTACACTATTACCTCCTGATCAATTATTATTGTCTCCTCATAATCATACAGAAATAGTAGAGGTTAGTAAGGTACAGTTTACACTATTACCTCCTGATCAATTATTATTGTCTCCTCATAATCATACAGAAATAGTGGAGGTTAGTAAGATACAGTTTACAGTATTACCTCCTGATCAATTATTATGGTCTCCTCATAATCATACAGAAATATTAGAGGTTAGTAAGATGCAGTTTACACATTTTACATTAATACCTCCTGATCAATTATAGTCATTAAATCTCAAAATTAAAAGGACTGCTGGTGTTTATGATTTAAATTTACTCTTAGATGTGCACAAATATCTTTGCTTGACAAAATGTTTAAATATAGATAATGACAATGCCTTATTTATTTTCAGAAAAATGGTAGTCCTCAGTTTTTAAAGACAGTTGGTTTTGGTGATAGTGAAAATGTTAACTTAATGACCAGAGTTAAAGTCACTGTCTACCATGTGGTTGAAAGAATGACTGGAACTGTAAGCAACTTGAATTACTTTTGAATATTAAAGGGGCAGTATGCAAAATTGTTATTATCAAAAATGTTTTGAATTATACCTAAAACTATTTTCTTAAATAGTATGTATCTACTTGATACTGAATTTTGTGCAAAAGATAAATAAAAAACCGAGTGTACTAATTGTTAAGTAAGAAGCTTAAACTAGTTTTGGTGTTCATAAAGACTGATAGTCCAGGAATATTTCTCTACAATTAGGTGTCTACTTAGCTTAAATCCTTACACATCCCAAACAAACATTTAAGTTAAAAAATTAATGACAGGATTTTTTTAAATCAAAAAGTTTAGTGACACCTTTCTCTGGATTCGGGTGAATAATTTTCATAAATTTAAGCAAAAAGATTTTCTGACCTACGAAAAAACAATGCCCCTTTAATACATTTTATAAATCTTTTCAAAAATGATGTGTATCATTATCTTTTCACATGTATTATATTCTCAGAATACATACATTTTTCTAGTTTTGTTTTCCTTGCTTATATTTTACCTTTGATAATTTTAGATGGTACAGTTAGGACAGTCTATATTTACATTACAAGATGTGGTCACAGCTGATGATAGTACTCTAACTGTTACTATCAAGTAAGTAACCTCAGACTCATGTCTCTTAGTGATATCTAACAGCTATAAAGATACAATGAGCTACATGTGCCCTAACTGTTTGTCAATCAATGCGATTTTTAGGCTTAATTTAAAAAAAGTTCTATTTTTAATGATAATTTAATTTTTTTTTGAGATCTACTGTATTGTTTCCTGTCTTAGATTTTATTTCATATGAAAAAAGATTTATGATAATCATCCTAGAACATAATCTTTCTTAAACCTGTTCCACAAAAATAAAACCATTATCAAATGTAAGACTTGTATCTCAGGATAAAGAGCCGGCCTCATATGGTGAGGATGTTACCAAAATGGAATCCCTGCGTAGTATCATATTTGTTGCTATATGCTATTGTTGATACCAATGTTATATTTGTAGATCACCTGAATTAAGAGAATGTGGTAAACTGACCATAGTAGCTTGGACTAATGGTGTACTACCAATAACATCTAAATTGCAAAGTCCAACAGGAAGGGTATGTTTTGTAATGTAAACTATTCATAGTAAATCACATGTGATAGATTTAATACAAGCTGTCCTGGAGAGGATTGTTTATCTGAAACTTAGCAGCATGTGATGAACTGTATTAGTGTATTGTCTGAGCAAATCAAAAAGTTCAAAAAAAAATTCTATATTTTTTAAGGGAATTGGAATATCAGCCTCTTTATGTTGATAAGAATAATTTTTTGGAAGTTTACATTGAAAAGAAACACAGTTCTCTCCTAGACCAAGAAAAATCCCAAATGTTAGCTGAAATTTTTCCTCTGTTAAAACAAATATTGAAGACATAATGTGTGCTCATGTTTATATTTTTACAAATGCAAAGACATTCTAAGACTAACAGTACTATTTTGAGGCTGATATTCGCATTCTCTTAAAAATAATGGAAAAACACTTTTTACTTTGCTCAGACAATGAGTCGATTAGAATTTTAACATTGAGACAGTAATACAACAGTAATACAACAGTAATACAACAGTAATACAACAGTAATACAACAGTAATACAACATTGGTGAATGAGACACATATTCAAATATTGTGTTGAACCATAAAATGTGAGAATTTCCTTTGAAGACATTAAACACATGCTAAATAAAACTGAGAAAGCCAGGGCTCATTGTCACTCATCGTGTCCAAACCACACCCACATTCGTCATACTTTCTCGGGGCCATGGTAACACAAATGAGAAAAATTAAGTATTCATAGCTTAATATTGTCCAATCAAAATTGGCCCTACTGTATTGGTAGCACTCGTTATGAAGCTTTGTTTGCGAACGTAAACAAAAAGAAAGCATATTTTGATGAATATGTACGGTACAGAATTGAGTGAGATTCTTTTTAAAGAAATGAAGCTGAGAGAAAATCAAACCTTACTTTGGAATATTTACTTGGAAAGAATGTATTCATACCTCTTCAAACGGGCGGCAACAGAGCGATGTTGTGCTTTGTCTACATGACCTCATTTCTCTTTCCACCGATCTGATTGGTCAGATTTAAATACCACCAATCTCGCCCCCAAAATAAAGTGTAGTGGGCTTAGTTTAATACAAGTTAATAAGACAATGTCAAAACCTGTATTCTTGATACGATGATTGTCACTGTGTTGTTTGTTCAACTGATAAGAAAAACTCTAAATTGCTAGTAGTAGAAATAAAATGTTCCTCTAACAATATCAAATTTTGTTTTTCAGAAGACTAAGAGTGAGATATTTTGTAAATCTATAAGTAAACAAGATTATTCACCGAAAGATTTATTTGAGAATGTTATTTGTAAATCTTATAGATTTGCCACTAATTCTCAGAAAGAGATTCTCCAAGTACATGAATATATGGCTGAAAGCAAATGGTCTGTAGATATACCTCATAAATTATTGTAAGTACTACATATTTATTATACATATTGTAAAATATTAATATCATAGTTTAAACTGAATGTTATATTAAAGGAGATGGAAATTTTAATACAATAGTATTTTAAGTTATAAACATCTTGACAGATCTTAATTGAAATTGCTAATTATCTTCATTTGATGAAATAGTTAATTTTCAATGAAGGATTAACTTTTTAAAAAATATTTATTATGAATCAATATGAAATGTTTTAAGATGGAGACAAAATTTAACATGTACTAACTTTCAGCACTTAATTAATTCCATTGACATAGCGTTTTAAAGAGACTTTCTACTTTTCTTGTAGGTTGAACATTTTTTTTGCTCAAATTTGTGAAAACTATAAACCAAAATAAAGATTTCATCTAAATATAACAAGTCATTATAAAGCCAATCACCAAAATTAGGTCAAAATGCTTAATTAACAATTAGTACTCTCAGTTTTTATTAAACCTTTTAAAACAAATTCATTTTGATCAAGTAGATACATAGATAAAAATAGAATACTTTAGAAATATTTTCAGGTTTTTAATAATGAAAAAGTTTTACAAAAAAAGCAGAATGCCTCTTATATATTCAGTAAAAATATATATAAGTTATGGCCCTTCTAATTATTATTTCCATAAAGGTTGCTAGAAATGGCTGACCATGGTGAAATCGTAAAGAAAGAACAAATTCTTTTTTATGAACTGGTTTATGTATCTACTTTCTTATAGAAAATTACTTATACAAGAAGAAAAAGAGAAAATATCAGTTTTACAAGGTATGGGGGAGGTATGTGAAAGATATTTTATTTTGTTTTTTTAAATAATAGTTTTTAAATTAAAACCTTCTGTTAAGTTCAAGTTTTGCCTCAGTCTTTTTGTCAATTATACCCAATTTGAAAGATACCATTAGCTATGCTAAGTGTTTGATTTTAGTTTCTGATGATCGACAAGTTAAAATGACTTTTATGTTCCTATGCACTTTTACATAGAATCTATTACATATATTTTGGGGTAGCCTATTTGACCAATGTTCTGATGTTTTCAGTTTGTACAGGATATAGAATCAGATCAAGCAGTATGGATAACATTATCTGCTGCCATTGTGTCAACTTATATAGATGCTGTTGATATGCTATCCATTTGTCAAGGTTTTATTCCCTTTTTTTCTAAGCTTGGCACAGTTTGTTTGCATGATTCAAATCTTCTAACAATTATTTGAGCTGTATATTTGAACTTCATTACCGGTAATTTCCATGGAGATCATGCTCCAAATTAGATCAATAATATCACACAATATTTGTTACCATGGAATTTCACTTGGGGGTAAAATCAGATACTTGGTTTGTTACATTTGTGCATGACGTTTATTACCGGTATATAATAGATTATTCTAAGGTGTAAAGTAACTAAGTTTGATGAAGCAGGTACACCAAGATACTAATATATACATTGGTTATTGTGTAAGATGCCTAAATAAACCTGAGTACCATCTTTAGGTTTTATTGATAGTGATCATTGATTTAGTGATATTTTTTATTATTGGGAGGAAGATTTTAGAACTGCTAAGTTTCTGTTATGCTGTTTGATTAAGGCTTTTTGAACAACCCTTGTGTGAAGAATAATCAAGGCCTTGACAGAATTAGTACAAATTGTGAAATTCAGATACCAATAGATCCATGGTCCACTTTCTTTTGATATGGTTGTTTGATTATGGTTTTGACTCTATTGTTATTTGAAATATAATGTCTTTTTTTGCTTGGATATTGCTCCATTTCAGCTTTCTGTACAACTTTTTAGAATGAAAATCATGAATCTAGTTAATTCTGATTTGATAATGGCTCAAAAGATGATGTGCAGTTTAAATTGTTTGTTTTCAAATGACGTGTTTTCAAGAATAAATTGATGTAGGAATATTTATATTTCGACTGGCATCACTGTTGTTTTTATACGCCCAAATGAAATGGGGTAATAAATAATAAAACTTAACATCAAATACCATCCTTTAATACCCAATGTTTCATCAAAAAAGTTTTGACTTCATCAGGGGAAGAAGCAAACTACAATTACTGGAAGGCAGTTAAGATTAAAATTACAATATGACCCCATAAGGTTTATGACGTCACAATCTTAGAAACCACATAACAAGAGAAGAGTCAAATCACAAAATGGTGGGAGGCAATTTAATTCTTAATAATATGACCTCAGAAGATTTATGACATCAAAATCTTAGATACAACATAACAAGTATGTAATAATGACTTCAGGATTTGCCAAAAATCTGTGATTGGTTATTGCTGTCTGTTTTTTCTTTTTGGAATCACCACATGAAATGGGGGGCGTATATTGCCGTCACCCATGTCCATCCATCCGTCCGTCCACAATGGCTCGTAAACACTCTACAAGACACAATTCTTGACTGATTTTGAAAAAACTTGGTATGAGTGTTTGTAATCACCCAAGGATGAACCCTATTGAAAATCAGAAGAATTGAAAAATATTTAGTATTTGCCTTCTAGAGTTTTCACGAGCTAAAAATTGAACACGTTTTTAAGAACAAGGGCAATAACTCATACTCAATATTATTCAGTATCGCCCTAAAGAGTTCAAAAGAAGTGTATGACTGAAGGTTGAATATTTCATACTGGTAATTGTTACTGTACTGCTGAATATTTTTATTCAAAATCAAAGTTGCCAGTGGGTGTATATTACTTTGCCTGGCAAGCTATCTTCTGAAATTACTAAAGAATCTTACATCAGATTTGTATTCTTAAAAGTGTCATGGTCAGCTGAAGGTAAATGTATTTTGAAATTAATTTGTTATTAACAGCATGATTTCAGCACAAGCTATTTTATTTCAGTTGAGTGGTGAAAATAATCAATTACGTCAAGAAATGGGTGATTCCTGCATGATAGCTATATCAAAATATACTCAGTCCTTAGCAACTATTTCTATAGCCAGTGATGAAGGTGATTTTATTTTGTAAGAAAATGCTATGCCTTATGATATACATATAGAATCATGGCATGCCTGCTGAAGATCCTAATTTTGCAGCATGTTTATTAATCATAATATTAAAATCAAGGGCATGATACAGTTGATGCATTGAGCACTATTTTAACAGTAAAAATATTTTGTTATTATGAAGGATATATCTGATAGCATTGCTTATTTTCTCAGCACTCTAAAAGTATTAGGATAAAAAAAACAAGTGAACCATGACATTGAATTCACAAAGTAATTAAGTACTGGTAAAGGAGCTGAAGGAAACCCTATGCACTGTTTATTGAAATATAGTTGTCATTCCGTCATGTTCTGATTGGGAGACAATGAAAATTTATTTACAGATATTAGTTTAAAGTAAATTTAATTAACTAACTCTTTTCTTTCTCCTACAATAACTGAAATCACTTCCATATCAGGTATTGCATGATTTTCTTGGACATAACTGATTCTATTGATAGCGTCCTGAAAAAATATAAACCTTTGTAGTTTATGGAACTACTGGTAAACTAGATTATTAATTTGAGACAGTAGCCAGAATATTTTAGATTAAAATGTAGATATTTTATTTATTAGGTATGTATTATAAGAGAAGTTGTGATAAAGATAAAAGAGAACTAGAATTTATACCAGTTAATGTACATTTACAAAGAATAGCTGTTGGTACAGAAGGCTCAAAACAAGGTAGTGACTTTACAAAGGTTTTCATTTTTCCATGTCTAGTCTGAAAATATAGAAGGACATTTATGTGATCTGGGCATGCCTGTCTAGCATCTTGTGAATGCATTAAGGACTAGAAGTATCATCAGTCTTTGAAGGATGTAATATGATACAAGTGTTCATAGGAAAAATATTGATTTCAACTATTGGGGATTGCCTTTAACATCTATCATCTGATTTATGTTTCATTTGATTTCGAGTTAAGTCTAAATCTGACATGATACCAAGAAGTATTTGTATATTGTCAAAATTGAGATGTGAAAATTACATTTACCAAGTTTTTAAACCATGAAACATGTTATGCATTTTAATGACCAATTCTTTTTTTATTTTCTGCAGGGACAGTGTATGATTCAATTACAACAGGTGCTTTTACAGCTTACAGTCAAAAATATAAACATGGTGGTCTGAAACGTGTACTACAATCTCAATTAGACTTATATACTCCACAAAGTACACTAGGACAGCGCACCAAGTTACATCAAGCTTGTAGTATATTGAGTGAACTCTCTGAATTAAAATATGTTATTAACCTGGGCTGTGAGAAACTATGTCAAACTTTATCTAACAGTGCTACAGACCATGTTCAGGCCAAAATAGACTTTATTGCAAATAAGGTAAGAAACTATATTTGTTAACAGTACAAAATATCAAAACATTTTGATGCATGTCACAATGTTGTAGAATAGAAGCATTATGTATTGTGTGTAATATGTATGTTACAGTGAATGTATCAAGGGATTGAAGCATTTTGAAGGCATATAACACATTAATATAGGAATATTGTGAAATCATTGTTATAAGTGAGAACACAATTTTCATGGAATTGTTCTTGATTCAAGTTTTCGCTAAAATAAGAATAAATTTCTACAATCATTGATCTGAATTGTAATTGATTCAAGATGGATTAACAAACATTCAATTATTTGAATCAAACAATTAAATTAATCCTGCTAATTAGTACAACAAATCCAAAACAGATTAAACATTAATCTGAGTATTTAGATATTATTTTGGAAAGAGTTGGATTCAAGGACTACAAATATGTTTCTTGGGATAAATCTACCAAACCTTTTTGCTAAAGGATATAAGCTTAATGATTTAAGGATTGAATGTAGATTATTTTTGTGTTTATTGGTTGATGAATGCAGAATTTTCACATGTTAATTCAAATAGATGATATATTCACAGAAAGAATAATAGGACAATAGAGTCATTTAAATTTGTTTTATTTTAGTCGAGAAAGTTGGTACAGTTATGTGATGATCAGCTCTTACAGTCGTCATCAACAGAATATTCTCAATCTAAAACCACAGCTAATGATGGGAAAGATACTGCGGCTTCATTGAGTCAGATGAAAGAATTGAAATCTAAAGATACACCTTCACCTTCAGCACCACAACAACCTACTTTTAAATCTAAGACTGTTGAACCTTGGGTATGATATACTGTTATTATATTAGATATGTTTATAGTAATCAGTTAGATATTCATGTTGAATTGAGATAAAAGTTTTCTTATCTATATGGAATAATGTGGAGGTTTTTGGGGTACATAGAATTTAATTTTTGGCTGTTAAATTGATGTAAAACTAGATTAGAAGAAAAATATTAATGGCAAACAACAATTTTGAATTGGACTTTGTACTTCTAATGGAGACATTATTTAGACGTGTAAGAGAATGAACCCAGGACGTCCAGGTTGACAATCATATGTATAAATTACAGAATCATCAGAAACCTTTTAAAGCTATTACTGATGAGAAATTACACATCTGTTTTGTTGCCATTCTCTGTTATTAACTGTTTACAATGAATTGTGTAATATTGTAGGAAGTGACAAGTTTGAATTTAGAAGCAGCAGTAGTGTGTTTAATTTCTAAAGTAGAAGAAATGTTAAAATATAGAAAAGAAGAAGAATTAGATACAAGTAAATGGTTAAATGAAATCAGTCCAGCTATAGTTAAATTACAAAAATTTGTTGATATTGTTTCACAGAGAGCTAATTTATTTCTTACATTTCTTTCATTAAGGGTAAGATTTTTTTTTTGCCATAAAAGGTGAATTTGGATATCCCTAGGTTACTCCTACATGCCTCTGCCTGTGCTTTTGTAACATTACTTAACCGCAATGTTACAACCTGAAATTGATAGTAAAGATACTTTTCGTTTTTTGGATTATTCAATTCTCTGTCTTATTTGCCTGTTGCCTAGAGAAATTAGTATTTGAATTATCTATCTTATCTATCTTATCTATCTTATCTATCTATAGACTGTGTAAAAGCTCATTATTGATTTGATATGAATCATTTCAATGAAATTGAGTTATTGTCTAACCGATTACTCAGTAGTCTTATATTCACAATGTCAAACTATTACAAACTGTTTCTAGTCTAATACATTGACTATAATAGCTGCCTTTCTTGTATCACAGTGTAAATTGCTCAATTTGATTGGATTACATTCTAGCGAATACAGTCAATCATACCCCCTGATTACACATGTAGCCAAATTGTTAACACTCTTTCTGTAGAGGGCTCTGATTGGCTGTATTTGTAAAAATGAAATGAAATGAATGGAGTTTTACGTTCTACTTTTCTGCACCATATGGGAAGATGGGATTGTATTTGTAAGTGAACAATCCAATCAGTTTGTTGCTACCTGATTAGATATAAGACACAGTTTATAAAACAGTGGTGTAACCTATTTTCGTGGATATAAGGATTCAACACCGAATTTCGTCAAAGTTAAAAAAACAGAAATTTTGTTTGATGTCTTAGATGTTTCCTCAGATATTCTACAAAATAATTAAAACTGGTTTGTTTCGATTTTTTTTATGAATCCCTCACTTTGACCCATTTTTCATGAGTAACCAACTCGACATCGGCGGCAAAATGCGTCACCTATTTTCATGTACAATGTTTGATCTATAAATAAGTCTAGAAAAACATGTTATATGGATACCCAGTGGTATAATTAACTTCTCTTAGTATTTATCTTTAATATCAATTCATTATAACTAGTGACAATTCCTTGATTTAGAAAAAAAATAGTGACTGACAAAATAAGATACGTAGCGTGATTTATTGCTATAAGTCATTGAAACAACATAAGAATATGGCCCACATTGTGTTCCATAGAAATTATCTGCTGACACGGAATCCGCTAGTTGAATACGTGACTTCATTTGTTAGACTACATTCTAGCAGACGACACTTGGAATTCCGATTACAGCTAGGGATTATCAGGAAATTCGGCGGATATAAAATTGTGATTTTGTATTTGTTAAAGTATACATTAAAACATTTTACCTTGCTTGAAACTACTGGATTTAATCTACTAGCTGACATTGTACAAATAACCCATGTTTATCAAAACAAGCAAATGCGGAGGTCACGCGTGGTCACACATGTAAATTATTAATCATTTCCGGAGAAGCACGAAAAATAGGTTAGCACGAAATTAGGTTACTTGACTGTAGCTTTACCTTGTGAAATGCCATAGCGTAGACTTTGTAAGCTAATTCTATTTACTATTGTTTTTTTTAGGAAAACAGATTCAATATAAAGTTGATGCATGCTGTAAAGTATAGAAGAGATATAGTGCTTACACATACAGTAAGTTTTCAAACATCTATACTTAAATTACTTCATGAACCAGGTTCCTGTACCTGAAAAATTGGACTTCATGACTTGATTTAACACCCTTACCCATGCATGGAAAAATGATGCTGAAAAGTTCAACTCATATCTGTGCTTTGCTTTCTGCTGAATTGTCACTTGACATACTGATACTGATATCCTATTGATATGACAGACTTGTTTAGATGGAAAAAAGAATTTTGTAATAAGGCAAATAGAAAAAAAGAAATTTTTTTTATCTTTTTTTAGATTTCAACGCTTATAACTGGAATTATATCAAAATTTCATACCAATATTAAAAATACAGCCTTCTTCAATCAAATAGCAGAAATTGGTTTATTAGCAGAATTTGAAAGTTTTTTAAGTTGTTATGGTGATGAAATAGCTATGATGGAGGATATGATAATAGGTGTAGATGATTTATCTAGTGTCACTCTATCTTTCTCTATTTCTTCTGATGGTACAATAAATCCTACATTATCTTTAAAAAGGTAAGCAATAATTAGACATACATATACATATATTCTTATACTTATAATTAGAGAGGCAAGACTGAGTACTTTTGAAATGTTTATTATATTGAGATTTCTGATATTTGGTTTCTGATAAAATCCACAATTTTGATTGGAGTACCCTATGAAAATTATTCAATATTCCATGACCGTCCATCAACAATCGCTCGTAAGAACTCTAGACAGAAAAAATTCTTGACAGATTTCGACGAAACTTAGTGTGAGCGTTTTTTATTATCCAAGGATGAACCCTATGGAAAATCAGAAAAATCAAAAAATTTGGAAATGCGTTCAATTTTTTACTTGTAAACACTTTAAAAGACACAATTCTTGGCAGATTTTGTCAAAACTGGGTTTGAGTGTTTTTAATCACCCAAGAATGAACCTTATCGAAAAAATAATTAGTATTTGTTATTGCCCTTGTTCTTGAAAACACTTTCAATTTTTAGCTCATAAAAACTTAACAGCACAATTCTTGCCAGATTTTGTCAAAACTTGGTAATATCATTCAGTATCAATCACCCCACAGAGATCAAAAGAAGTATATGACTGAAGGTTGAATATTTCATACTAGTGATTTTTATTCAAAATCAATGCTGCCAGTGGGCATATATTACCTTACCTGGCAAACTATCTGATATTATTGCAATGATTTCAAATAAACTAATCTTCTTTTTCAGATGTCTGAGGAGTGGCAAGTTTCCTGACATTAACAGGTATTTATGGTTTGGTTTCAACAAATTCTTTATGATTATTAGACTTCTTCTTGCAACATTAGAAAAATATAAATAAACTTGATCATAAAGCTCATTTTTAACATGCCAAATCAAATTCAAAATCTGAGTCTGCAGTATTGATATCTTGGTAAATTTCATAACTTTTTATACGCCCACATGGAAATGTGGACATATATTTCCGTTACCCCTGTCTGTCCATCCGTCTGTCCACATTTCTTGTATGCTCAATAGGGGCTACAGCTTTTATCTGATCTTGATGAAACTTAATATGCTTGTATATATTGCTGAGATCTTTGCAAGTTCGAAATTGGTAATTATCAGACAAAAAGTTTCAGAGTTATCGCCCTTGATTTATTAAAAACGCGTTAAATTTGGCTTGTATGCATGATACATGAATATGTGGTCGTATATATTGTCGTCGCCCCTGTCCGTCGGTCCGTCCGTCAACATTTCTTGTGAGCACTATAGAGACTACAGTTTTTATCTGATTTTGATAAAACTTGGTGTGCTGCTTTAGATTGATAAGATCTCGGTCAAGTTCGAATTTGACATATTTTTGATGAACGGTTTTTGAGATATTGCCCTTGACTTAGAACGCCTTGAAATTTGTTAAAAATTGTTCGTGAGCAAGATTGAATCTACAGTTTTCATCCGATTCTGATGAAACTTGGTGTGATATTTGGAATTCCTAAGATCTCGGACAAGTTCTAATTTGACGCATTTTCGATGAACGGTTTTTGAGTTATTGCCCTTGACTTTGTAAAAACGCGTCAATATTTGTTAAAAATAGTTCGTGAGCAGGATTGAAGCTACAGTTTTCAACCGATTCTGATGAAACTTGGTGTGATCATTGGAATTGATAAGATCTTGGGCAAGTTCTAACTTGATGCATTTTTGATGAACAGTTTTTGAGTTATTGCCCTTGACTTTGTTAAAATGTGTCGAAATTTGTTAAAAATAGTTTGTGAGCAGGATTGACGCTACTGTTTTCAACTGATTCTGATGAAACTTGTTGTGATCATTGGAATTGATAAGATCTCGAACAAGTTCTAACTTGATGCATTTTTGATGAACGGTTTTCGAGTTATTGCCCTTGACTTTGTAAAAACGCGTCAAAATTTGTTTGTGAGCACAATAGAAGCTACAGTTTTCAACCGATTCCGATGAAACTTGGTGTGATCATTGAAATTGATAAGATCTCAGACAAGTTCTAACTTGACGCATTTTCGATGAAATGTTTTTGAGTTAATGCCATTAACTTACAAAAAACGCGTAAAAATTTGTTTGTCAGCACAATAGAAGCTACCGTTTTCAACCGATTCTGATGAAACTTGGTGTGATCATTGAAATTGATAAGATCTCAGACAAGTTCTAACTTGACGCATTTTCGATGAAATGTTTTTGAGTTAATGCCATTAACTTACGAAAAACGCATTAAAATTTGTTTGTGAGCACAATAAAAGCTACAGTTTTCAACCGATTCTGATGAAACTTGGTGTGATCATTGGAATAGATAAGTTCTCGGACAAGTTCTAACAAGAGATATTTTTGATGAACATTTTTTGAGTTATTGCCCTTGACTTTGTAAACACGTGTCAAAAGTTGTTTTTTGCCCTTGATTAGAGCTGTGTGATTTAATTGTTTGTTGTATTTGGGTTATTGATATTGATTATAAAAAATTTTGTGAAATTATTCAGCATAAATAATTTCTTCAGTATGAGAAAATTCGTACTTTAGTCACTAAAGACTGTTTTATTATTTCTGACAGCTGCCAGTGGGCGTATGTTTCCTTGCAACGCAAGCTATCTTGAGATATTGCCCTTGACTTAGAATGCCTTGAAATTTGTTAAAAAAAAAAATTCGCGAGCAGGATTGAAGCTACAGTTTTCATCCAATTCTGATGAAACTTGGTGTGATCATTGGAATTCATAAGATCTTGGACAAGTTCTAACTTGACGCATTTTCAATGAACGGTTTTTGAGTTATTGCCCTTGACTTTGTTAAAACGCGTCGAAATTTGTTAAAAATAGTTCGTGAGCAGGATTGAAGCTACAGTTTTCAACCGATTTTGATGAAACTTGGCATAATCATTGGAATTCATAAGATCTCAGACAAGTTCTAACTAGACGCATTTTCGATGAACGGTTTTTGAGTTATTGCCCTTGACTTTGTTAAAACGCTTCGAAATTTGTTAAGAATAGTTCGTGAGCAGGATTGAAGCTACAGTTCTCAACCGATTCTGATGAAACTTGGTGTGATCATTGGAATTGATAAGATCTCGGACAAATTCTAACTTTACGCATTTTCGATGAACGGTTTTTGAGTTATTGCCCTTGACTTTGTTAAAACGCGTCGAAAGTTGTTTTTTTTTTTTTATTAGAGCTGTTTGATTTAATTGTTTGTTTTATTTGGGTTATTGATATTGATTTTAAAAAATTTTGTGGAATTACTCAGCATAAATAACTGGCATATATATATGTAATTGAATTCAAACTAATAAAATATCTTCAATATGAGAAAATTCGTACTTTAGTCACTAAAGACTGTTTTATTATTTCTGACAGCTGCCAGTGGGCAGCTTGCATCGCAAGCTATCTTTATATGATCTTGATGAAACTTAGTATGCTTGTAGATATTGATAACACCTCAGTCAAGTTCGAAATTGGAAATAATCGGATGAATTGTTTTAGAGTTATTGCCCTTGACTTAGTAAAAACACGTTAAATTAGGCTTGTATGTACGATAAAGGTTGCAGTTTTTATCCCATCTTGATGAACTTAGTATGCATGTATGTATTGATGAGATCTCGGACAAGTTCAAAATTGGTAATAATCGGACGAATGGTTTGAGAGTTATTGCCCTTGACTTAGTAAACGCGTTTAATTTTGGCTTGGATGCAGGATAAGGGCTGCAATTTTTATCCGATCTTGATGAAACTTTGATGAGATCTTAGTCTAGTTTAAAATTATTAATAATTGGATGAAAAGTTTCAGAGTTATTGCCCTTGACTTAGTAAAATCACGTTTAATTTGGCTTTTATGTATTCTAAAGGCTAAAATTTTTATCCTGTCCTGATGAAACTTGCTTATAGATATTGATAATACCTTAGTCAAGTTTGAAATTGGTAATAATCGGAATAATGGTTTAAGACTTATTGCCCTTGACTTAGTAAAAATGCGTTAAATTTGCTTTGTATGACCGATGGAGGCTAAAGAATTTGATCCCATCTTGATGAAACTTAGTATACATGTATATAATGATGAGATTTCGGTCAAGTTCGAAATTGGTAATTGGATTAACGCTTTCAGGGTTATTGCCCTTAACTTAGTAAAAACACGTCAAATTTGGCTTGTAGGCACTCTATAGACTTCAGTTTTTATCTGATCTTGATGAAACTTGAAAATATATTAATGAGATCTCGGGCAAGTTCGAAGTTGGTCTTAATAGATGACGGTTTTGGAGTAACTGCCTTTGACTTCGTAAAAACGCTTCAAATTTGGCTTGTAGTCATGATACAGGGTGCATTTTTTTTATCCGATGTTGATAAAACTTGGTATGAGATCTCAGTTAAGGTTGAAATTAGTAAAAATCGGATGATTGGTTTCACATATTACACCACTACAGACTTTGTTATCATTTCTGACAGCTGGTAGTGGGCGTATGTTACCTTGCCTTGGCAAGCTATTTTTATATACTCACATGACGAATTAATGATATATTGTTGTCATCCTTGTTCTTCCAATCATCGGTTCTCTCCATCCACAGTTACTCTTAAACAAGTCACAAGTCTTGAGAGAATTGAACAAAACATGTTGAAAGAAACCTTATGTGATAATTTGAATATTGCTACGTATATTTTAATTTGTCTGGCAAGCTATCTTCCTACTTGAAGCAGATAGTGATAAGTGATGTAAATGAAAATAATATTTGCTGTAAGAGTTACTAATTATAATTATTTTGGTTTATTATTGTTTTCAGGCATTGTATACATATTGACCTTGGTGTATCAGAAGACAGCTATAATCAGTTACCTAGTACTGTACAAACAGCAGAAAATATTCGTATAGTACCCTTATTATTTAATGTTGGTATTAATGAAATGGCTACATGTGCTGAAAAGTAAGTCATTATTAAGATTTTACTTTATTCATGCTTTAAAAAAAACAAAAAACAATAAATATTAGTTACTGTGAAGTATGTATTTGTAATTTTTCTGTTTTGGTAATTCAAGACTACAAAATACAGAATGTGTATATTATATAATATACATATTATATTATGAATTATAATTTAGGTTTGGTAGTACAGGATTACAAGATAATATAAATACAAAAGGTGTTACAATACTAGTAAAATATTATGAAGATTATATTAAACACTTTGCTAACCCAGGTATTTACATGTTTTGATACTCCTGAAATATGTCTTTTAAAAATTGGATAAGTTATATAAGTTATTATATATTGCTTTTTTTATTTTCTTAGAATAAGTCTCATTTATTAAATGCAATGAAAGAAGCCATTTTGCTAGCAGTTTTATGTTTTATGTATATTTTATAGAGGAGAAACATATACAAGATGAATTAAGTTTATTAGTTAAACAATTACAGACCAATGTTTTATCAAAAAAAAATAAAAATGTTGAAATATTACATGTAGCTTCAGAGGTGAGTCACTTTTAACTAATTATAACTTGGTATTTTTTTTCAATTTGACGATTTGCAGAGTTTCAGAGTCTTTGCCTTGAAATAGTATCTGTGAATAGCTACAAATCCTTAAACTACAGTTAAGATTTTATAGTTACCTTATTGGTTGAATATTAGTTTATATTTTGACTCCAGTAGGTCAGATTATCGTTGTGACAAAAAAGAATTAGAAGTATTCCTTTTTATACGCCCACATGGAAATGGGTACGTATATTGCCGTCCGTCCGTTCACATTTCTTGTATGCTCGATAGGGGCTGCAGCTTTTATCTGATCTTGATGAAACTTGGTATGCTTGTATATATTGATGAGATCTTGGTCAAGTTCGAAATTGGTAATAATTGGATGAATGGTTTAAGAGTTATTGCCCTTGACTTAGAAAAAACACATCAAATTTACCTTGTAGGCAGGATAGAGGCTATAGTTTTTATCCTGTCTTGATGAAACTTGGTATGCATGTATATATTGATGAGATCTCGATCAAGTTCGAAATTAGTAATAATTGGATGGACGGTTTTAGAGTTATTGCCCTTGACTTAGTAAAATCGCATCAAATTTGGCTTGTAGGCACTAAGGATTTTGTTATCATTTCTGACAGCTGGTGGTGGGCATATGTTACCTTGCCTGGCAAGCTATCTTTCTATAAACTCTTGGAATCTATTTCATTTTCAAACATGTATTAGATTTTATATTCTATGTAATTTAACATCATACTTCCTTCATACTTGGTCATTATTTTAAACCTTATCAACATGTGTTTTGTAGCTCTGTCGCAAATTAAATGGTATGAATTTTGTCAGTTGTAAAAGTGGTAAAGATAGAACTTCCATGGGCGTGACATTACAACAAGTACAAATATTACAACAAGAACATGATCTGGCCTCTCATGTATTTTGGCAGGCTCTAGATTGTTTTAGAAGGTAAGTTACTTGTCCCATATATTCTTGTATTCATTTGCATCAATTTATACTAACATTGTTTGATTCACCATATTAAACTTAAAGATAATTCTATTTTTTCTTCAAATCTTTTCGTCAACACTCAACAAATTTTTTGGAAAACCAGATCAACAGTCTGTATTGTAAAATATGTAACAATAGTTTTATTTGATGACTCTTCCTGTACTCTTTAAGATTTGATAGCATTTTGGTCAGTATAACTGAGCAGATGGATTCCAACCAATTGTATAACAGACCCTTAACAGTATTTATAAAATGAAATAAAAACACCAACTCTGCAATTATTTTACATACAGATGGTTTTCAATCTGAATATATACAAAAATATTGCAATACTTTGTTTGCTGGTCATAACATTTGAAATTGTGGGCAATCCACTCCCAGAGGTATTTTGCATTTTCACACGAAATAACAATATTCTTCATGTCACATAGTAGTAGTCACAACATGTACTATTCATTTGAAACTCTTGCAAACATACTTAATTTGAGCCCTCCAAAGGTCAAGTGAGGTAAAAAATTATTTAAAAAAATTTATCGCACAAATACAAATATCGTGGGTGACTGCTTGAAACCTTGTATAACGATATATGATGTGAAATTACTTTTTGAGAAAAACGCAAAAAACTACTTGAACTCATATTTACGAGGTTTTTCGTTTTCATCCCAGAAAAAGAAACATTGAACCTCGTATAATATAATATTTTACGAGGTTTTAAATCTGACTGTTTGTATACATGATATTTGATTAGTGGTTTTTGGGTTATTTACAATCAAGCTAAGAATAAGAGGTTTTGACGAGCTTTCGAATGGTACCAAAATGTCAAAATGACCAAATATGGCATATACGAGGTTTTAAGCGGTCACCCACGATATGTCAAAATCCAATTTGAGATTTGAAAAAGATTGTTTTATCATAGTTTTTTAGGGTAACCATTCAGTAATTCACAACTTTGGGTAAAAATCATGTTAAAAGTATCTGTACTAACAGTGTAATAATTCAGTCAATTTTTGAGATAATTAAAGTATTTTGGTATCAATAACTCAATACCTCCATTTTGTCCTATGTGACTTATTTCTTGGCGTCTGTTCACATATCATATTGCAAAGAAAGAAAGAAACAACTATATTATACAAGAATAACAACTTCGGTTCACAGTTAAGGATCCTCTCTACCAGATGGTCCTTGGCATTGATATTTCCAGGATTTCTCATTTACATCTGGGTTGACTGGAATTTTGAGTGAAGATGACTTATTTAAGCTGATTAGACTTTCATATGCTGATCAAGGTTGCTCGATGTAAACAAGCAAATGATGTTCTGTAATGCCTAGTTCACAACAACGGCGAATGCTGCGCTTTAAATCGGCGAGCAAAGCGCAATCATTTTTTGTTTACTTTTCCAAAAATATCACGATCTCCTATGTAATGTTACGCTCTGATAAGCTCTGATACGAATTGGTTACGCTTTGGGGACGAATTATTTCCCAATTTGATCAGGCCTTGTTACGCTTTAAATCACGCTTTGATAAGCTTTATTAAGCTTTGATGCGGTTATGACGCTTTAAATCACGCTCTGATACGATTATCAAGCTCTGTTGTGCATTGTTAAGCTCTGTTACGCATTGGAAAATTTAGAAATGGCCGATTTCATGCCGCTTTTGATCAAGTGGTGACAGACCGTGAAGACTGGGGTCCCCGCTTTGAATAAAGCTCTGTTAAGCTTTCCTACGCTTTGAGTCAAGCTTTGCTGAACTTTCTTACGCTTTGTTAAGCTTTGATACGTTCTCGGCGCTTTAATCAATTCGTGACAGAGCGCCAAAAATTTTTAAACAGTTTAAAATTTTTTGACGCTCTTGCCGAATATCCAGCTTTGCTCAAAGCTTTCCAATGATCTATTACGACCCTAGCGCTTAAGTCGAGCTTTTTTACGCTTTGGTACCGCTTTGCACGCCGCTTTAAAGCGCCATCAAAGCGCCGTTAGTGTGAACTGAGCATAAAGAACGCTCTGACTGTGCTATAGAACAATAAAAGGAGTTTTGATGAAACCTCATATGCATACAAGATGATTACTTGACATAACCTTACCCTGTGCGAAATTAAAAGAACCAGTTTATTTAACTAATTCTTGTCATTCCAATACAGAGATACAGTCTTGTAGGAAACCCACCCGAAAATGTCTTCAGACTCGTATTACATTCTTCTCTATATCATATATCACTTATTAATCTTACAAGTTACATTGTTTTATTATATTTTATTATTGTAGTGTTGGTTGTAGAAGAGAAAATACTCTAAAGAATACTGGTATTAAAAAATATGCCTTTAATAGTCTTCAATTACTTTCCTTTCCTAAATTATATAAACCTCCCGCAGGTACTTATGGTAATGTCCAATCTTAGTTTGTGCCTTGAAAATATTTACAAGGAATTTTTAGTTCAAAACAAATTTTATGACTGTGTTTTAAATATGAATTTGAAGAACATGTTAAATTGTTTTTGTTGTATAATTTTCTATGTTCTTAGAATTTTAAGTTATTATGAAAAATAGTTTTTCTATTTTGAACATGTTCAAATTGAATGATTTAACTGAAAGAAATGTAGTTAGTTTTAGACAGGTATAAATCTGATAAGCTGACTAGTAGATTTTTAACTAATAAATATTTTTTAATAAAATTGTAAGTGCAATAACTCTATTAATAAGCTCAATGTTAGTAATCTAAACCAATATGTGTTCATGTATATGTAGGGCCCACATGAAGACAACCATCTCCACATTTCTTTCTTATGCTATGTAGCTTTTTTTATTACTAATTTGATTGGGATTAAGTTTGGAAATATATTAGGTTAAATTTAAATTTATAATATCACCCTATAGGTAATAATTAACTTGTTATTATGATAAACAAACCATATGTATTTTTTTCATCCTGATAATTTTCTGTGAGTTTTCAACTGTCAAATAAAATGATATTCTGTAGCCCATATTAAAAATTTAATATAATACTAAAATAAACAAAATACATAATATCGCTCATCAGTTAATGTATTCAGTACTATTTTTACATTGAAAATGTTTAGTTATTGCAATGAAAAAAAGATTAGTGTTGAATTTAACCATTTGTCACTGGACATGTCCAATGTGATTTTATTGGTGGAAAAAACACAGAATTTTTGTGTGCTACAGGCTGTGCACATTAAAGATCCCTCGACAGTTGGAAATCGAAAAAGAGCAGGCTAATGCCGCTGTCCTGGCAAAATTTCCCTCATTGCACCCTGCATGGCGTTGCCCGTCTTCATTAGCCCACATGGTGCAGAAAAGTAGGACGTAAAACTCCATTCATTTCATTTCATTTTTACAATAGTTACAATTGTTAGATGATATTGGAGTCACATGGCTTCAGATTTCAAATGTTCTGAACAGCACAATATGTACCTGATGGTTCAGAAGTTTATAGAATTTAAGAGTAGAAAATACTTTGATTTTAATTTTAAGTAGTGTTTTATTTACTTATAGAATTTAAAAGTTAATGCAATTAGGTGGTTTCTTTGATTATTGTTACTTATTCATCACAGTTTATATTTTACATTTAAATTTTACTTATCGATTTGCATGAAATAAAGCATAGTTGATAATTACACTCAAGATTTGATGATTTTTATACGCCCACATGAATATGTGGTTGTATTTTGTTGTTGCCCCTGTCCATCGTCTGACCATCAACATTTCTTGTGGGCACAATAGAAACTACAATTTTCAATGGATTTTCAATCTTTGGTGTGAGCATTGGGATTGATCAGACAGCCGTTAAGTTTGAATTGAAGATTTTTCGATGAACGGTTTTTGATTATTGCCCTTGACTTAGTAACATCGCGTCAAAATTTTGTTGTGGGCACAATAGAAGCTACAATTTTCAGTTGATTTTGATGAAACTTTATGTGAGCATTGGGATTCATAAGACGGCGATCAAGTTCGAATTTGACGATTTTTCGATGAACGGTTTTTGAGTTATTGCCAAGACTAGGTAAAATCGCGTCAAAAATTTGTTTGTTAGCACAATAGAAACTACAATTTTCTAGGAATATTGAGATGAAATTTTGTGTGAGAATTGGGATTAATAAGCCAGCGGTCAAATTTGAAATTGACGATTTTTCGATGAACAGTTTTTGAGTTATTGCCCTTGACTTAGTAAAATCGCGTCAAAATTTGGTTTTGGGCACAATAGAAGCTACAATTTTCTATGGATATTGATGAAATTTGGTATTGATTAGACGGCGGTCAAGTTCGAATTTGACGATTGTTCGATGAAGGGTTTTGAGTCATTGCCCTTGAAAAAACTCAGCATAACTGACCCTAAAAGGGTTTTTAAACTACAAATGCATAATGAAGATCTTCAATATGAGAAATGTCGTATTATTATGAAGATCTTTAATATATTTTTGATCAATAAAGATTTTTCTCTAAAAGCTGCCAGTTGACGTATGTCACCTTGCCTGGCAAGCTATCTTTTTTCCTGTGTTCAGTTTGAGATTTGAGGCCCATTCGACTTTATTCCAATTTGAATCTAACTTTGGTTTTTCTCATAGAAATTTCAATCTGACACCTAAAAATGCAACAAGAAGAATAAGATAAGAATACAGATTCTAATTAATTTAAATCTCTAATTTGAATCATTCCGATATCCCGGTGAGTGGTTCCTATTGTACTATAAAAACTAGATCATGACGCCGATGTAGCAAGTATCATATACAATGTACCTTGAATCTTATATGGCACATTGATGAATTTAATTATGGGTTAGCAGGTATTATCTTGGAGCAACTTTCATTGAAAGTATTAAATTATTTTTATTCACTAAATAAGTGAAACCCTGTTTAATTGTTGGCATGTATTTTGGTATTTGATATAGGGAGTTCGTAATTTGGGCAGGTGTTTTTTCAATTACTGGTACCATATACATTTTGCAAGTAAAATTTTCGGAAAAACCTTATGCAGTTGCCAGTTGACCAGGAATAGTGATTCAGGATTCATTTGTACTTGATGTAACTCCATATGCTCGAGTAGCCTATATTCACGAAGTCTTCGACCCTTGGCAAAACCCAATTGGTCTTTCCCGAATTATTCCTTCCAATTTACAGCTGAAAGAATGATAAACAATAAAAGAAGGCCTATTTACAAGGCCAGAATACCGATTGCAAACTCTGATTAAAATTCGTGTCACATAATGTGTGACATCTCCAAGTACAAGAAGTTATGAAAGCAAATTGCAAATTCCACATTGAATTGCAAATTCCACATTAAACAAGGGACGTATATTGGTGTCTCCAATGACCAACCGTTGCTCCGCCCACAATTGCTCGTAAACACAGAAGGCACAGATTTTGACGGAACTTGGTAGGATTGTTTGAAAATCAGTCAAATCGAAAAATATTTAGTATGAGTTATTGCCCTTGTTCTTGAAAAACACGTTCAATTTTTAGCTCGTGAATATTCTAGAAGGCCCAATTCTTGACGGATTTGGACGAAACTTGATGTGAATGTTTGTTTTCACCCAAGGATGAACCATATCAAAAATCGAAAAAATCAAAATTTGACCTCCAACTTGAAACAGCTTTCAATTTTTAGGTCGCAAACACTTAATAGCACGATTCTTGCCGAATTTTGTTTACAAAATATGGTATTATTATTTACTACCAACCCAAAAAGTTCAAAAGTGTATGATGACTGAAGGTTGAATATTCCATTCCGTTACCCTCATGAAAAGAAGCCAATATGTAATTCCAATATTTTGTATGAAAAACAGTCCGTCCATGGGTACGATTGGGCAAATATTGACGGAGTTACTCGATATCGTCTTTGTCAGATTCTTATTTGATTTGTAGATTCATATCCAAATGATCTCGAACAATTAATTTAGTTCGATTTGGCAAATATTGACAGAGTTGCAATCTTATATATACAGAATATGCGTTAAAAGTGGCTTGTGAGCGCTATAGCGACCACCTGTTGTCAGATTTGACTTAATTTGGTGTATAGGTATATATCCTAAAGATCTCGTATAAGTTTGAATTTGGGTACGACTCGACAAACACTGGCAGAGTTATAGCCCTTTGAATATTCATTTAACGTAGCCTGTAAATTATATAAAGGACATAATTATGATGTTTGACAGGAATCAAGTACGGTGTGTAGGTTTATATGCAAAATATCTCGGACATGTTCAGATATATCGAATATACGTTATAATATAAATTGGTCTATGCCGATAGTTCAAATAAAAAGCTATGATATTGGTCCGGTCAAAAATTGTTGTTTATTTTATCAAGTACAATTTCTCATTTTGATTATTAGGGTATAAAAACATCCCATGAGAATACTATTATAATCAAGTATTATTCAGCCGTTGTTGATGTAATATAGAACTTCTCTGAATAAAACAAAGATCCTTTTCTCTTGGGTTATAATACTTTCACTGTCAAATGGTTCTAATTGTTTATTTCTAAGCCTTATATTAGATTAAATTTTTATGTATCTTGTATACCTTATGGCTTTGAAATTGCGACACCTCTGTCCGCCTTTGTACCTAAATGAGATTACTCTGTGAAGGATGGGAGATACAGAATAATTTAATGTTTTAATTACCGGTATTTGGCATCTCCATCAAACGCTTTGACTTTTAAAAGACAAAATATTAACATTTAAAACTTTGGTAATACGAAGATTATCCGATTGATAAAGGGGCACGTTTTTCCTACATATTTTATTTTTAGACAATAGATTTCACTCCGATTTCATATTCATTGATCAAATTTGACAAAATTTTCATTGATCAAATTTGACAAAATTTTCATCGATCAAATTTGACAAATTTTCATTGATCAAATTTAACAAAATTTTCATCGATCAAATTTAACAAAATTTTCATTGATCAAATTTGACGAAATTTTCTTGAACATGAACAATTCTGAATTCAAAAGGTGTCACGTAAAGGGAGAATGGGAATGCTTACAATATATTGTTATGTTAATTATCGAACATCTGATACCATGCTGTCAAATTGCATGGAAGTCTTTACACTGAGTGGGTGCCTTAACCAGATTATTTGCTACTCGATTTTTCTATCAGTATCAATGGGCATTAATATATTGTTAATAGAAAACAACCCAATGGGAAATAGTTGAGTTTGTTATCGATATAGTTTAATGCAATTCTAACTGATGGATCAATGAAAGAGAGTAAACTCTTGGGAATATCCTAGTTGGTCTACAGCGAATTAATCGACGGTTAACAAGAGGCTATTCGCAGCTTGATGGTAATGAACATAGCGGAGTGTTTGATCTCGACCTGATTCGCTCTATGTAAAATCATGAAATCAAGTGTTTAGTACCAGTACTTCTGGTATTGTATATTGCTCTAACAACTTTATGTGTGTGGATCATAGACCGTTCTGTCAATGAGACAGGATTTGTATTGTCCGTATCAAGTTACGTCCTCCTGTAATGGAAGTGAAGATAAATATGATTACATGATAGTAGGTTGTCTGAAAGGGATGAAAAATGGCGTGTAAGTTTTGTGGAATAATTTCCGATTGTTTATTTGGAGTTGTGTTATACTGGACCATGTTTTCCAATGTATTTGGAAAACCCGAAAAAAAGGAAATTCACACTTTAGGTAAGGTATAAGACTTTATGTTATAACTTTGAAGAAGTGAAACGAGAAGTGAAAAAGCTTCTTATACGTTGATATCATTCGTCTGTTGCAACATGTTGCTGGTGGACACAAAGGGGCCTTTTTGGGGAAACTAAGTATGGTTAGGCATATTTAAAGAAGCATAGACCGAAACATCTGTCTCTATTCCAGCTGTTTTGGGCAACTGCTTATTATTGCACCATATCTGTTTGGGGAAGGACTGGCGGTGCCTAGCAGTCCTAGAAGTGTATATGAAGTCAGTATTATATATCTGTGACACAGTTCGGCGCTATCACGTGATACATGTATTCAATTTAACAAGTTATTGTAGCCTACATCTACCGGAAGTACTCATTGCTTAAAGCGAAATAGAAATTTAAATCCAAATAAACTTTAGGTGCAGTGTAGTGTTTACTTATTACTCTGATTGAAACTTTCAACATCTTGTTAGGCCAATGTCAAAACCTACTCGAGAAATTTCAGTATTCAATACACTGCAAGTATCAATGGAGAGATTTTTGGAATTACATTCAAGTGCAAATGGTGTTAAAGATTGATATCTGGTTATATTTCTTCACCCTTGGCAGTTATCGTGTTCAACTAAAAGTAGCAGTGTCCTTGTTACAAAGCAGTTCTTTATACGCAATGTGGTGCTTTTTATGAATTTTAATGAAACTTGGTGTGAGCATTGGGATTGATAAGACGGCGGTCAAGTTCGAATTCGACAATTTTTCTATGAACGGCTTTTCAGTTATTGCCCTTGACTTAGTAAAATCACGTTTTGGGCTCAATTTTCAATGGATTTTGATGAAACTCGGCGTGAGCATTGGGATTGATAAGAGGGCGGTCAAGTTCGAATTGGACGATTTTGTTTTTGAGTTATTACCCTTGACTTAGTAATATACATCAAATTTTACTTGTAAACACGATGGGGGCTACAGTATTCATGAAATTTGGTTTGCAGGTATATATTAATGAGAATAAAGTTCAAATTGGTCTATGTTAGTTTGTTAGTAGATGTGAATTTGAATTTCAGACACGAGAGGAGTGTGATAATTCAATGCTTCTGTGTTATTGCTATTGATTTAAAAAGATTTGAAGAAAAACTCGGCATAACTGACCCTAAATTGATGAGATATTCAGGGTTATTGAACTACAAATGCATAATGAATATCTTCAATATGAGAAATTTGGTATTATTATGAAGATATATATTTCTGGCCCATAAAGGTTTAGTTATCATCTCTGACAGCTTCCAGTGGGCGTATGTTACCTTGCCTGGCAAGCTATCTTTTATTCTAACCATATGCGTGAGGTTTCTGTTGTTGCAGCCCAGTTTCTTGCTTTTACAACTCTCTATTAGAAATTGGGGTTTCTGATATCCCGAAAACATTGGTATTTACAAAATAGACCACAGATTATCATCGCTGAATTTTACGACAAAAACTATTCAAGTCTTGTATGAAGAATTAATGGATTTGAAGAAGATTTAGTTTCATACGACCAATATATCAGACGATTTCTGAAATAAAATCAGCAGGATACTAGATCATTTGTGATTATACATTCTACACATTTTCATTGACTATTACTTTAATTAAGAGGCTTCTTTTAACATAAACCTTCTATATAGACCTAACAAAGGCGGACTTCAGAAGAGCATAAGCATGTAAACAGAACAGAGATCCCATTTAAAAATAAATCAAAAGCAGTTTTCATTCTCTTGTATGTGTACCGACGGCACTTCTATTTTCCACTATTACTAAACCCTTTCAAAGTCTGCGGTTCCTGTAATACCAGGAACCCTAGACCAGTTTACAAGTAGTTTTGTACCTCGGCAAATCGAATATGTAAATATGTCTCCGTAACATCCAAGTGGGTCATAAAACATACTTTTAACTCCCTCCTACGATGCACAGTGTGCAACACTTTAAATGGAATTAGATTTTATTTGAGTTTTTGTCAAGGTTATTTGATAATCAAGGTCATATTAATCTTGCAGAATTTCATGAAGCATGATTTGATTATGGCTACTGGATATTTTTTTAACCTTAGTTCACCGTATACTGTCTATGATATTTAGCTCAGTAGAGTAATGAACAGCAGGATGTCACACTGGAGGAACTTCATGTATACCTGGTAAATGTTTAAAACATAATTGAAGTTCGTGGGATTGAACCGTTACAATAAACATATATTTATGTAAGATCCAGACTATTTTCTTTTCTGGGTACGTACAATAAATCTGGTGAATGAAATTCATTTTTGAAGGTAAAATGAAAATAAACTTGTTACCTTCCCAGTGGAGACAGATGTTTGTGTAATCAATTTAGGTGGCTAGGTGTCAAACACTAAAAGGTATGATATGTTTTAAGCTAGTCAAAAAATAAACAATATAAAGTGTTTCAAGCGTTGATATATAACTACTCACATTACTAGCTAATTACCGATTCATTTCGAATCTAGGATAGTCTAAAATTTTTAGATTATGAACCCTAGTATTATACCCAGTGGCCATCTGTAAAAAAAATTTCACCGAAAATCTGAGTGTCGACCAAACAACCCTTTAAATTTCCTTTTATTTTTAAATCAAATCGCATTCAATCAAAAAATCTGCCAAGAGTCTTGTTCGCCCCCATTCCATACCTGATATCAAGTATCTTTTTTACCAATGCCCCCCTGGTATACCTTGTGTTCGATTGAAAAATAGATAGCCCCAAAAATATAAAGACAGATGCAATATGATTATCATTATACAAGATCTTTATCATTATATGTATACAATATCTTTATCATTCTATTAGTATACCATATCATTTTATCATTATACAACATCTTTATCATTCTATCATCATATAACATATTTATCATTCTATCATCATATAACATATTTATCATTCTATCATCATATAATATATTTATCATTCTATCATCATATAACATCTTTATCATTCTATCATCATATAACATCTTTATCATTCTATCATCATATAACATCTTTATCATTCTATCATCATATAACATCTTTATCATTCTATCATCATATAATATATTTATCATTCTATCATCATATAACATCTTTATCATTCTATCATCATATAATATATTTATCATTCTATCATCATATAACATTTTTATTATTCTATCGTTAGATAATATCTATATTATTCTATCATTATATAGGATATCTTTAACATTTTATTGATATACAATATCTTTAATATTTTATTGATATACAATATCTTTCTATTAACGATGAATAGGTGTTTAATGGGAAGTGGTGAAATAAAACTCAGTCACCTTCAATGCCGGTTTATAGGATATTATTCCTAGCACGTTTTGTATATAAAAAATCAATTCTAACTCAGATTCTAAACCAATATTACACTTTTACATATTGACAACGTCTGATATATCATATGGTATTATAATGAATCATAATTGATTGTTTTTAAGACTTGTTAAACAAATGTTTGTTGTCCTTTTGATAATCATTTGACTTGTAGAAAATATTACATTGCCTGTGTAATGTCATAGTTTAATTTCATGAAAATGGTTGAATGTCTTAATGATATATATTTCGGGAACTCACTTTGCAGTATTCCGGTTTACCGTCCGACGTTTGTAGTTTCTGGAATTCTAAAAAGTCATGACCATAATATGACATTGGTCACGGCGCCAGACTTCCGAGACTAGGGGTACAAATGGGGGGCAGACCGACTAAATAGGGAGGGGGGGGGGGGGGTGAATTGATTTTTTGCATTCTGACAAATATTTTGGAGAAAAGGTAGACATTTAGATTTGTTGAAAATAAAGTGGGGGTGCAAACCACTGGCGCCGCCGCTGCATGACGTTAGGATAACAAATACTTATTTGAATCTGTATTTAAATCTAAAGCAGGAGGAGAAATCGGCTTTAGGCTTTCAAATAAAATATATAATAGAGCCTAGATCTCTTACAGAAATTATGTACTTTTATGCATCTTAGATCCTTGTCTAATAATGCCAACAGAGTAGATCGTTCAAAATAAAGAAAGCTAAGATAACTATATCTCCCACTGTTTCTAAAAACTACCAATGATCTGATGTTTTAACCCATGTTAATTTTTCAGGTATTTTGGATACACCGTCTCTATATGATATGGGGGATGTAATTTATAAAGTAGAAAATATTACAGGATTATCTTTCTCAACCAAAACTCTCGTCTCAGATATAACCAATAATTATTCCGGTTATAAAAAAGGTAAGTACATTTCTGAAAAATAAACAACCTAAAACAATATGGGTGATTGGTGATATTAAACATATATTCCATCATGTTACGAGTTGTGATGAAATGATACCACAATAAATAGTGAACAAATTCATCATATCACAAATTTATCTCAATAGATATTGTAAACAAATTTACATCAATAGATTTTGTGAACAAATTTATCTCAATAGATATTGTGAACAAATTTATCTCAATAGATATTGTAAACAAATTTACATCAATAGATTTTGTGAACAAATTTATCTCAATAGATATTGTGAACAAATTTATCTCAATAGATATTGTAAACAAATTTACCTCAATAGATATTGTGAACAAATTTATCTCAATAGATATTGTAAACAAATTTACATCAATAGATTTTGTGAACAAATTTACCTCAATAGATATTGTGAACAAATTTATCTCAATAGATATTGTGAACAAATTTATCTCAATAGATATTGTGAACAAATTTACATCAATAGATTTTGTGAACAAATTTATCTCAATAGATATTGTGAACAAATTTATTTCAATAGATATTGTAAACAAATTTACATCAATAGATTTTGTGAACCAATTTATCTCAATAGATATTGTGAACAAATTTATCTCAATAGATATTGTAAACAAATTTACATCAATAGATTTTGTGAACAAAGTTACCTCAATAGATATTGTGAACAAATTAATTTCAATAGATATTGTGAACAAATTTATCTCAATAGATATTGTGAACAAATTTATCTCAATAGATATTGTAAACAAATTTACCCCAATAGATATTGTAAACAAATTTATCTCAATAGATATTGTAAACAAATTTACATCAATAGATTTTGTGAACAAATTTATCTCAATAGATATTGTGAACAAATTTATTTCCATAGATATTGTAAACAGATTTACATCAATAGATTTTGTGAACACATTTATCTCAATAGATATTGTAAACAAATTTACATCAATAGATTTTGTGAACAAATTTATCTCAATAGATATTGTGAACAAATTTATCTCAAAAGATATTGTAAACAAATTTAACCTCAATAGATTTTGTAAACAAATTTAACCTCAATAGATTTTGTGAACACATTTATCTCAATAGATATTGTGAACAAATTTACATCAATAGATTTTGTGAACAAATGTATCTCAATAGATATTGTGAACAAATTTATCTCAATAGATATTGTAAACAAATTTACATCAATAGATTTTGTGAACAAATTTATCTCAATAGATATTGTAAACAAATTTAACCTCAATAGATTTTGTAAACAAATTTATCTCAATAGATATTGTGAACAAATTTATCTCAATAGATATTGTAAACAAATTTACATCAATATATTTTGTGAACAAATTTATCTCAATAGATATTGTGAACAAATTTATCTCAATAGATATTGTGAACAAATTTATCTTAACAGATATTGTAATGAAATACGCTACAAAATATATGGTGAACAAATGCACCACAATCATGATTGTTAACAAATGAACCACAATCATGATTGTGAACAAATGAACCACAAAAGAGATGCACCACAAACCATACATGCGATTAAATCAACCACAATAGATGAAAAAACACACCGAAATCATAATTGAAAGCAAATATACCTGTGATCAAATGAACCACGATATGTGAACAAAAGCACCACGATAGAAAGTGTAAACAAAAAGACCACAATTTAGATTTCGGGGAAGGGAGGGTTTGATTCTCCCAAATGTACAGGCCTAGGGTGGAGCAGACACTTTATTTAGAAATTAGGATTAAGGGTCTTGATATTGGGTTTTCTTCTGTTCTTATTCTGATCTGAAATTAGAAAAAATAACTCGCCCGATGGGCGAGAAGTATAGTATCTGTTATGTACTGATTGTTTTTAGTTTACTATGAACAATATTATCATTTAAGTTCTTATTTTTTGAATATGCAACTATCATTTTCTGCTTATAGACATGGGGGAATTTCTCTTGAAGGCTCTTA